ATATATATATATATACATATATATATATATATATATATATATATACATATATATATATATATATATATATATATATATATATATATATATATATATATATATATATATATATATATATATATATATATATATATATATATATATATATATATATATATATATATATATATATATATATATATATATATATATATATATATATATATATATATATATATATATATATATATATATATATATATATATATATATATATATATATATATATATATATATATATATATATATATATATATATATATTAGAATGATCAAATTATTAATACTTCAATATATAAATTAATAATATTAGTTTTATGTAGTTAAGTCATAAACTTAACTACATAAACTTAACAAGTCTTAACTACTGTAATATTTCATACATTTGTGGAATATGTAAACACTCTTATAAAAAGATTTCTTTAGAGTTTTATACTTAAGCTTTTCTTTTAAATATATTATTGAAGGAAGATTTATTATTATTATTTTTTGAGCTCACTTATTTTTAAAGTTTTTTAAGAGTAACTTATTTTTGTGTCTTCATTTAGAAATCAATTCTGATTTTTTATTTAATAAACATTCTTGGTTCCCGTGTGTAATTATTATTATACACAGCTGCTGTTTCAAGGATGGGCCAATTCAATATAAAATCATTAATTTTTTTTCTTTCAATTCCCATATGTATTTTGACAGCATTGTGTCTTATAAATGCTTTTTATTTTTAAGGATTTTTTATGATTAGCAAAATATTTTTTGATTCACCTTCTGTTAAGCCAATATATTATCAATCAGGTACATTTTTAGAGGAAACAACACATTTATATATCAGGGTGCAGATTCACAAAACTTTCGTAACTTTTGCGTTACTTCCGAAAATCATACGCAAATTTAATTTTTCGTAACTATTTGATATTCACAAACATTTCGCAGCGTTTGCATAAACTTAAGTTTGCGCAAAAGCTACGCTTTTAAAGTTAAGTTTGCGCAAAAGCTGTTGTTGTTGGCCTGTGCAACTATTAAAAGCACTATTTTAAAGGAGTTATTTTTTTAGAAATTAATTAAATGTTAGCTAGGGCTTTCATTGATTCCTAATCAAATTAATTGAAAACTGCTATTAGAATATTATTTACTACCTGTAATAAGTATTTATTAATAGCAATAAATTTAATAACACCTATTTAACAACTACAATAAAAGTGGTCAAATTTCTAAAGTCGTTTATTTTTAACAAATGTTATTTTTCAGATAATATTAAAAAATTGCTTTAGAAAAAAATAAAAATTTCACATTTGGACCCTAGTTTTGTGTCACAAACCATAAAAAAACCAGGAGATTCATCGGTAGGTATTAAGATAGTGGTAGTTCCTATTTCCAAGATAGTGGTAGTTCCTATTTCCAAAATCATTATCTTAGCTTAAAGTATGAAGATGTTATAGCATAAACAACTAATTAGCCAAAATTTATCCCAAAATAACTTACTTTAGAACACCATAACTCTGTTCAAGAATAAAATCAAAAAAATTTATTGCTTCAATGAGTTTATTGTATATATTACTACAATTGTACAAAATTTCAAAGCACTACAACAAGTAGTTATTCAAGTTATTTATTGCAGCATGCTAAAAATAACATTCTGAGAAAAAAACAATTTAATATTATTAAAATTGAAAAAAATTAAGTTAAAATATTAAAACAAACTTTTATTTCTAAAGATTTGTTATCACTCCTCAATGTAAGAGCAGTAGTCTAATTTTATAAAAGCAGTAGTCTAAACTTATAAAAGTTTTTTATAAGCTTTATTTAACTGTTTAAGTTTCATACAGAAATTAATATTCATGTTTAGCAAAACTAAAAAGTTTTAAAATTATAAATAAATATTCTATAAAATGTAAAAATTCTGGTAACCCTATTTCAAGTTTTAATAAAAATATCAATTGGAAGATTGAATTAAACTAAAATCACTAAAAACATCCAGCATCATAAGTTATTTCATCTCATTTTATTTATCTTGATCAACTTAACCTTTTCATTTGGATCTAATTTGTTTCCAATGTTGGTTTAATTTATCACTTGATTTTTTTGCTATATTTTAAATTTTTTATCTTTTTGATTGCAAAACGTTATATAATTATTACCTGGATTATTCGTTCTAAATAAATATTTAGTTAACCACTTTATCTTTTTAACACCATTTTTAAATTTTTGCAATTAAAGAAATTTTATTGTTTTGAGTTTTTTCAAGACACCTTTCTAGCATGTTTTTATCAGAGAAATCAATAAATATTAGCTTGATTATGTAATTACAACAGGCTGTCTTGGTTTTTCTATTTGTACATGATTCAATAATATTATCTGCTTAAAATTTGCACCAGGTATTAATAGTTTCAGAACTCATTGAATGTCTTAATTCTGAAAATGATGCCTCAAATTCACAAAACAACACACACACACACAGATATATATATATATATATATATATATATATATATATATATATATATATATATATATATATATATATATATTATATATATATATATATATATATATATATATATATATATATATATATATATATATATATATATATATATATATATATATATATATAGAATTATATTCAAGTTAAAAAGGTAATTATTAATATTTGCATTGGTTTTACTGCTGATAGTAAATTATTGTTTGAATTGAGGTTCTTGTAAAAGATTCCTCACTTATAAGTTCTAAAGTTATTAAATCTAGTGTCCCAGACAGCAAGTAGGTTCTTGGACACCCCTGCAATTAACTTTGTATTTCTCAGGAACTGCCATTTGACAAACATTATTCATTATAAATAGAATAAAATAAGAATTTTTTTAGAACTTGCATAGAATTTCTGCCATCTTTTATACAACAAATTGACAAAATATATAGATTATTTAGTAAATAACATTTTAGCAGAGTATGTAATTACTACTGCAAAATGACATTACAGACTAATTAGTAAACAAAATTTTAACAGAGTATGTAGTTATTACTGCAAAAGAAACTAGTTATAAATTAAAAAAAAACTTCTTATTAAACTTTAGCAGTTTAATCAAATTACTTTAATCTATAGCCTATAGTTCCTTAGGCAGTAATATATTTCTGCAAAAAGAACTATAGCCTATAGATTAAATTACTTTAATTAAACTGCTAAAGATTAATAATAAGTATTTATTAAATTATACATTTTAACAGAGTAGGGGAGAACCTTAATTAATGGGACAGTTTTCGTAAAATGCATTTTTTGAGGTTGATAAATTTGTTTAAAAATCACTTTGAAAATAGTTTGATAACTGTTAACTCTCGTACTATGATAAACAAAAACAAAAAAATTGATTCCGCATATGGGTATTGGTAAAAAGAGAGTTTAATAAGACCATGGCATTTGTCCCATTCATTAAGAACTACTCATTGAATGGGACAAATAAAATTATTGAATGGGACAAATCTAAAAAATTAATAAAAGAAGAGAGGTCCTAAGTAACTTTCAAGCCAGTCAAGCAGTAAGGGTAGTTTCTACCATTAGGGAACCCGAAAAAGCTATAAATATGGCCGAATGTCTGCATATATTGACAAACCTAAAATATTTTTATTAAAAAATATATGTATATTAGAATTAAATTAAAAACACGAATAATTGTTTTTAGTAAAACAAAAAATTTTATTAAAAATAAAATTATGTGTGACCATGACTAAGTTGCCGAAATATATTTTTCTACTTTTTTCATATCAGGCTGTTTGGACAAGTCCCATTCAATAATCAATACTTTGTCCCATTCAATAGGCTTCCCACTATATCCACAAATGACAGGACAGGTTAAAAACAGTAATACCTAAACAAAAATACTTTACAAATTTAAAAAGTAGAGACATTTGGGTGTTGAAAATTGGAGTTTCATTTTCCTTAACTTTAGTAATCGCTGCAAAATCAGACACAGAAAATTGTTTTTAAAAATTACTTATTGTTCTTCAAAACACAATAACATCCAATGCCATTACGTTTAGACCATATTAGAAATAAAGATTTGGTCTGTTGAATGGTTGTGTCAAACACTTATTACCACAGGAGTTTGGATAGCCAACCGTAGATGCTTCTATGCAAATTTGATTTTGTCCCATTCAATAATTGTCCCATTCATTAAGGTTCTCCCCTATGCAGTTATTAATAACTATATACTCTGTTAAAATGTTGTTTACTAATTAGTCTATAATGTCATTTTGCATGTATGTTACATACTCTATGTTTAGGTATGTCTACATTTGTAATAAAGTTTGTAAAATATAATAAGTTTTTTAATAAAATATATGACTACACTTAGTATATACGTGGCATACTCTATAGACTATAGAGTATAGAGTAAACTTTAGTATAATATTGAGAATTCAATAATTTATAGGCACATTTACACTATATTTATTACAAATTTCTTATTAAAAAAATCTTATCACAAATCTTAACAAAAAAATCAATATATTTGAGCTGCGCCAATATTTTAAAGTTACGCCAAAGTTTTGGTAGCTGCTACCTAACGTAACTTTTCTTGCTTAAATCAAGCTGAGCATTTTTTTAAGAAGTTTTGTGAATGTCATTATTTGAGAGTTGGACTTAGGCAAGAAAAATTGCAAGTTTTTTGCGCAAGTTTTGTGAATACGAAGTAAATTTGTCGTAATTTCTAAACTTACGCAAAACTTACGCTTAAAAGAGTTTTGTGAATTCACTCCCAGGTTTTTTAATAAACATTTTCCACTCATTGGGCAATTATTTTTTTATTTTCAATTACAATTTGTTGTACAATTTGGTCATTTATTTCTGATGAGTCTTATAGATAAAATTTGATAAGTGATTTTTCTACTAATTTATTATTGCTCTGTTTAAAAATATTGAGCACTCTATTTTGTAGAACACATTTAACATTGTTTTAATCTGTGTGTGTTAAGGGAGACAGAAAAATAATTGATGACGCTTTTCAAGACCAAGATACAGTTCGCCAGAATGCAGTAGGTGGAATATCAGGAAAGGTTTGTTCATTCATTTTTATGTAAAAATATAATTTATTTTAATGTTCTAAAATTTATTTTAATATTTTTGTTATTTAACTAATTTTATAAATTTCAGTTTAAGTTTTGATTAATCAAAAATAAATTAAAGTTGTTAAAATCTTACTTTCCATCTAAATTGTTTAAATTTTCACCCATCACTTGTTTTTTGTAGATATACTTACTAACTAGTATGTAATTGGTGCATGTATTTGTCATCTTGTGTTTGTTTTGGTTATATCATTAGTTTTGTTGATTAATGTAACTGTTTAACTTTTTCCTATTATCATATTTATCCCAACTGTCCAAAATTTTTGATGTTTTTAGGATGTTGTGGCAAAATTAGATCAAAAAGTATGTGAAGTAAAAAAAAGAATAAATTCCTTAAACCATCAACTCTCAGTTCGTGAAAAAAAGCTTGCTTCACTGCAAGTAGAATATGAAGAAATGCAAAAAGATGTAGAAATGGTACAGCTGACAAGCTGCGGAGAGTCAGATGAGGCTCAGGTTTTATATTTATAAAATAATTCATAAAAATACTTTTATTAATAATATCATACATTACTAGTTTTTTAAAATAATGAGCTGGATTGTTTACATTCATTTGTATGTTGTTTGTAGTTATTGTGTATATGTTGTGTTGAAGGTATAACAAGAATTTTGTTAAAAAAATTTTTAAGCTATTTAATTTAAATTAAATTTCATAATAAATATATTTTTTAAGCATCAATTTTGATTAAAATTTTTTTTTTAAGTAAATAAACAGAACTGTAAATTTTCGATTCTTAGAGGCTAAGGGTGTTGGAAAATTCTCTTGACAAGATGAATTTAAAACTCAACGAAGCAGCTAAGATTCGACATACTTATGAACAAATCCTTGAACATCAAAAAGAGGTAGTATTTAGAGTAAAGATTTTTTATTAAAATAAATGATTAAATGACTTCATCATTTTTAATTATGTCATTAGGAGGGCTTAATATTGTATTTAAGTCCTCCTAATGACACATTGAGCAGTGTCTTTAGGAGAGCAGTGTGTTCAAATTTTTTTATTGCAGTGATGGTTTTTTAAAATTTTATTGGATATTGAAACTTGAATTTACAGAAAAATATGGTTTCTTTTATTTTTAGAACTGAATACCTAAATGTAAACTTATTTTGTAGATCTTATTTTTATATACAATTGTAGATGTATGTAATGTAGAGAAAAACATTAAATATTACAAACTTATATTACAAAAGTTATTAAATTTTACAAAATATTTCATGTTTATTTAATAATTGATTAAATTTATTTTTTTATGGGGTTTTAGAAAAATTTGTATTTTTCAAACATTTTTGCCCTTTTGAAAACAAGAAATAAAGCTAGATTGGCATTAAATCTGTTGCATAAAGTGGTTTATATTTTCAGTGGTTTACATACAATCCACTATTTTTAATGAATGAGCTAAATATGTTAATATTTAGCTCATTCATTAAAAATAGTGGATTGTATACATATATGGGTCATTAAATAAATATATACATATATGGGTCATTCCATATAGTTGTGTTTGTGACATTTCTACTGTAAATGTGAAAATTTAAGCAAGGAATTTAGTAAACCTTTTTTTTTTGGTAATGTGTACATTTGGTTATGTACTACTATCTGAAAAGTTTACAGTAAATGTTATGCTTTAGTTGCATCGCTATGTCAAAATAAAATCAGTCGCAGTTGTGACAGCTACAAAAACAGAAACAAAACTTGTTTAAGTAATTTTGTTTTTTTGTAGAAAACTTTTAACAAATAAAATTATTTTTTAGAGATATTATATTAACTATAATACAATTTTTGTTGTTGTTGTTCATGTTTTACATAAAATGGTAGCTAGCAAAAAGTTGCGGTTGTGGCAAAATATAGTACTATCAGATAACATTACATTTTATGTATTTTTAAGGTATATTTTAGCAATGCCAAAGTTTTTAAAAATATATAAACAATTTAAACAATGTTTATAGTTATCCTTAGAAAAATTAAAGATACATCAACAAGTTGTTGATATAAAGAATGTAACAAATCACTTTAGTTGCAATATTAAAGACATTTAAATTAACTAAATAAATCAATATACTAAATAACAATTTTTTTTTTGCAGTGTTATTTGTCTGATAGTGGTGATATTTTTTTCATGCTAAAAATTTCATTCTTAACTTTCCAGTAATGGTTAAGTCGTATATTTTCAAACTTTTCTGCTAGTAGTAAAGTATAGCTTAGCTGACTATAATGTTGATTAATTTCATCTTCAGTCAAATATATTAAATTTACGATCGAATCTTTGCATATTGCTACATAAAACTGCCACCCATTTTGAAACTTGACTTGCTTTAACCTTTTGCCTTAAAGTTCCTCCTACCCTATCAATGGCTCCTTTTCCATGGGCTGTAGCAAAAAAATTCCACTTGAAAGTTGGAATATTAAAGATCACTTGACAATACTTTAGGAATTTTACAATAAAGCAGTTTTTAAATTGTGAAGATCATCACTCCAAAAAGTTACTTTGTGTATAATTGAATTGGTTGAGTAAGGCTTTAAAAAATATATTACAAATGTTTTGCATCCCTCAAAGATGAAGATTTTGATAAATGATATGAAAATTGAGCTGTTTAAGAAAAATATCTTTAAAGTTAATTCAAGAAAAACACTGACCCATGTTTTGCTGTGATCATTTTTATCTAATAACTAAGCAACCATATTTACCATAAACAGCAGCAGTGAAGATTGTTACTAATTATTAATAAAATTTTTATGAACTAGACAACAACAGGTTTCAATAGGTGTCAGGTTTTCAATAGGTGAATAAGTGAGTATTTGAGCTGGATGGAGTGCACAAAATTTGGAAAATTTTATCTTGCTACCAAACTCTTCTGTGTACAGAGCAAAACATTCTCTTAATTTAAGTAACAAGTAACGTTTTAGAAATTTTATAAAGTCTTTCATACCTGGAGTCCATAGAGATATTTCTTTGCGGTTGTAAAACTCTAGTACATGATTGAATACACTAGAAGATAAACGGATGCGTTTTTTTATCTTAGATATATCTGGTAAAGATATATCTAAGACACCATGAAAAGCAGATATACAAAAGACACCATGAAAAGCAGATTATGTCATTAAACAGTTATGTCATTAAACATATAAATTTTCATTTATATGTTTAATGACATAACTGTTTAATGACATAATCTGCTTTTCATGGTGTCTTTTGTAAAGCCAGTTCAACGTGGTTCACAGCGCGAGCTTCTGATAAACTTGAATGATAGATGACTTCTTCTATTTGACTAGAAGAAAAAGAAGGAGTATCAATGATACCTTGAGCTTTTTGAAGATCTCTGTGTTTACGCTATTGTTATTTAGCAAGCTCTTTTTTTTTCAGTTCTTCCTCTTGCATTAGTTGTTGGCAACGAATATTACTTCTATTATATTACTATTAGTTGTTGAATATTACTATTAGTTGTTGGCAGTCGTAGAATATTACTATTAGTTGTTGGCAGTCGTAGAATATTACTATTAGTTGTTGGCAGTCGTAGAATATTACTATTAGTTGTTGGCAACGAATATTACTTTTCTATTTCTTTTAATTCAGTTTTCATTCTTTCTTGATAATCTTTACAAATTTGTATGTGCGATTTGGGCATTGTTTTAATATTTATATGTATTTTGTAATTTTTATGTAGAATATGTCAAATATTTATATTTTAAATTTGTTCATATCCTTTAAATACACAGTTATATTAATTGTTTAAATTACTCTTTATAACACGTGTTTTAATTAAGGTTTTTCTAATTAAATCTTCTTTCTTTGCGCATTTGAACATCTAAACAATGTATTTAAACATCAATGTAATAATAAGTCAATATTTGTTTTTTCTTGCTTCATGAATACCTTTACTCAATATATATATATTATATATATACATTTACAAATACCCCGAAGGTATAATAAACATTATAAACGTTATATATATTATGATATATGACGCACCCACAATGTTCCTTCTGGTGCAACACTATAACTGTTTATATATAATGCAATTATTTACACTAATTACAACACCTCTTGATCTCTAGATCACAAAGTTCGCATACTTATATAGAAACTTCCGCATTTGAATCAATCTTCTGAGATTCAAGTTATCAGTGATGAGCCCCTCCGATTCTCTAGTACACAAGACAGTTACAATGGTAGCAGGATGGGCGTCCAGCATGGGTCTTGGCAATATATTGATTTTTACCAAAACTCCTCATCCTGCATCTAAGGCTCTTCCTCTATTCCATTTGCTTGTACATTTTGAGTCAGGTGATTTTACAAACACTGCTTATCCTTGTGTATAGTTGTGGAGAATTTCCTTGTTAGTTTTGGCAGAATTGTGTGTGGTTTCTACTCATAGGAAAATATAGCTTTGTTGGGGAGCGACGTTATACCAATATTCCATTTTTAACAGATCTTTGCCACTTCTGGCTGCCATACACTTGATTGTGCAATGATGATGTTCAACAATTCCTTTTCCAGATGGCCTGTAAGCTAAACAAAACAGGATGGACACTCCCCATTCTGTGCAGAATTCACCAATAAGTTTTAAGCAAAAAGTCTTGCTGTTGTCAAGTAGAACTTTCCATGGAGGTCCTCTTTCTCAGAATATTACTTCTAAATGGAAGCACACTGTTGTTTCTTTTTTGTTCAGTAGCTTTCTCCAAATTGCAAACTTGCTCCTTTTGCCACAGTCAATGATAGACAGTTTCTGATTTATAGTGGGTTATGTCAATAGCTAAGCGGTGTGAGCTCTTTTGAACTTCAAGATTTCCTTCTTCCTATCTAATTGGTGCAGAATCCACCAATATACATCTTTTGTTTCATTTTTTTATAAGTAATTTCAATGTCTTTTCTACAAACTTTCTCCTTCAAATATGTCTGTTTCATCAGATAAAGGGTTCGATTGACTCCAAAGTGATGAAGGTTGTGAAACAATTTCACATCATGTAGTACGACATTTGCTTTCATGGCAGAATGGTTTGAATGCAGCCAGTTGTGTGGTACCCTTGTAAGAGCATTGGCTTTATTTTCTCTTGACTTTACCAGATAAAGTTTTTTTTTTATACCGCACTCCTTCACAAGGTTTTTAATTAAAAACAACCGGTGACAGACAAGTGGTTCTCTAAGACCATGTACTCGAATGGGTTTGTCACTAATAAATAAGGAGTTCAACCAGCCGACAACAGAAGCCGAATTACACTTTATAGTAATACACATGAATTCCCATTTTGTTGCTAGATTAATTCTTTTTATTACGGCTTCTAACTCTGCGAGACTAATGCGAGCTGTATCGTCTTGTTCCTCAGCCGTAAACAGTCTTCTATTGTTTCCCCAGCCACTTCCAGAACTATGTCAACAACTGAATTGCTTGCATTGCGACCACACTATTGCTTTAGAAGTGTTTTTGACGTTCCATGACCCGTAAACATCTTTTGTTCCATTTTTTTATGACTAATTCAACTTCTTTTTTACAAACTTTCTCCTTCGAATATGTCTGTTTCAGAATCTGGATCTTCCTTTGTAAGTCTTTCATTTAAACTGCTTACTAATTTGACAACATGTTCATTCACCAAAGAGTCCCATCCACAACTACTCGAAACTCCTTTCAGATAGCTGCACAAAGAGCACTACCAATTTACTATTAGAAAATATCCAGTCAGCTGTCCGCACCAAGAAAAGATTTGCTGACGTATCATTTTTTCTTCAGAAACTTTGGGTATGTTGTAATGTTTCCAATGGACTTGGTTGCATTATTTATTAACTTGCAATCCAAGCACACAACCACCGACAAGTTTTTCTGGCAACTTTGAATCCAGGCCATATTTTTTCAGTAGTTCTTGAACTCTGCAACTTGACACTATGTTATTATTGACAATGATGTCATCAATAAATAAATCCATCCCAGACTTTACAACTTCATCTAATAACAATACCTTTCTTAAGATTTTAGTCATTATTATGGATGCCACATTTAAATCAAAACCCAATCTTGTTAGACAGTAACGCTGTCCTTCATATTCTACAACTTGATATTTCCATAATGCTTTGTCAACATGAATCTGCAGGTATGCTCTCTTTAAATCGATTATCTCAAGATTTTCTCCCAACTTTTTTCAGCTGTAAATATTGGTACTGCAAACATCGCCATCTGCAGTATGAATGGATACAAATTGTACAAATGGACACAAGACGTACTTTTAATTTGTTTCGTTGAATTACAGCCATCAACGGAATGATGGCATTACATCTCCCTTCAAATGGTTTCAGCCATCCCTGTGCTATCCATTCACTTATTTCCATTGCGTACTCACTTTTAACATATTCGGGAACAATGTTGTCAACCAGGCATTCCAAACCTACGATGGTATCATTTATAGAAAGACCAACAACAATCTGGTGTTTTACTTCAATTGATTTCTCATTCATCATGAAAACCTTTTCTCTTTCGTGTTTTACAATTTTTTACGTTTACAATATCACAACTTCTTTTTTCGTGTTTTACAATTTTTTACGTTTACAATATCACAACTTAAAATTGATTTGGAGCATTTAGTATCCAAGCAGCATTTAGTTATGGTACTAGTTCCGATTTCTGTATCCATTCTGAAAATTTACCCAAACCATCATACTGCGACACCGAATCCGCAAACTTTATCAAGATGCTCATTGCCGAAATAGTAATAATAATTCAATATTTGAAATAGTTGTAATAATAAGTCAATATTTGTTTTTTCTTGCCATCTTCTTGAATATCTTTATTCAATATATATACATTTGTAAATACCCCCGAGGGTATAATAAACATTATAAACATTATATATATACAATATATGATGCACTTGCAACATTTCTTCTGATGCAACACAATAAAACTTTATATATAATGCAATTATTTACACTAATTACATTGACACATTTAAACATTGAAATATCCGTTACATTGCGGTCGTGACAAAAATTAAATTGCATTTTGCTTTTTTCCAGACAAGGATTTTATTAATTTTTTTTTACATATATATTCATTTCAACTCAAATGCTTTTGCTAAATATTTTCTAATTAAAAAAATTAAATTTAATTTGTATAAAAAAATTGACTTTGTTTTAATAGTCCCAGTCATGACAGTGAAAAAAGCCTTTTTTTTTTTTTAATAACATACTAACTAATAATTAAGATAATAGTAATATCACTTACTAACAAATTTATTTAATCACTAATGTTTAATCTGAGAATTAAAAATTAAAAAAATAATAAAAATGTTTAACACAACTCTATGTTAAGAAATCTATATTTTTTATATCATAAAATATTAAAAATGGCTACCAAATTTTAAACATCTTCTACACGTGCATAAAAATTAATGGCGAAGTGAAGATACTTTTTTTAGATGCACTAATGTGTCTGTTAATTTAATTTTAAAAAATCTATTTTTAATATTCACTTTAAGTATTTTTGAAGTATGACAATCTTATATGGAATGACTCATATGCATTGTTGTTGTTTTTGGTTAAATGATAATAAACATTTCTTGTTCATTTTGAAAGATATCAATAATATTAATATATTAAGTAAAAAGATCACAAATTAATTCAACAATAAATAGATAAAAGTTTGACAAAAAAAAACAAAACTTTTCAGATTGCAATGAATATAAGAAGGTTTTGAATTATAGGTTATATATCCACTTATAAAAATGTAAAAAATATTGATAACAAATGAAAACATATATATATATATATATATATATATATATATATATATATATATATATATATATATATATATATATATATATATATATATATATATATATGTATGTATATATATATCATAGATAATTTCTTTACTTTTTAATTCATTCAAATGAACTTTTTATTAGAAGAATATTAGAAATTCTTTTTTGCAAAAAGTTAAATAATCTAAATTCCGTTTAAAAAGTTTATGATAGTTTTTGCTGTCTGTTGATACAATCAATTTTTGATAAATTAATTTTCCGGGATTTTCATAAAGTCAAATACTCATCTATGATATATATATATATATATATATATATATATATATATATATATATATATATATATATATATATATATATATATATATATATATATATATATATATATATATATATATATATATATATATATATATATATATATATATATATATATATATATATATATATATATATATATATATATATACATATATATATATATATATATATATATATATATATATATATATATATACACACATATTTACAAACTATTATACAACCTGTAATAGTTTGTATATATATATATACAAACTATTACATAACCTGTTATATCGTATCCATTTGGGATAAAAAACAGCTCTCAACAACTCTTTTTCTTTAAAACTGCTACAGAAGTGAGTATAAAATTTTTAAATATCAATTTAAAAATACCTACAACTCCAAAAATTGAACCTTTTTGAAAAACACTGCTGCATAGAGAAAAAAAAGTTTAGTGTGGGGCTATTGGAGTATGATAGAGTTTAAACTTAAAAACGTAATTTTAATCATTATGTAAAGCAATAGTTAAAAGTATAGCTTGAGAACAATTTTCAAACAACCATCTTTGAAAATAATACTGCTGATGACTTGTTTGCTTCAGGGTATTTGCAAACAAGATCATAACATGAATCATGTTGTAAACATGTGTATTCCAAACGTTAGATTACAGCGTGAACAAAAAATTAATCCAAGTTAATTAAATAATTAATTTTTTAAGGAGTGAATGCCTTTTTTTTAAGTTATACAGCAAGTATGATGAAAAATGAATGAAAATGTTTATATATATATATATATATATATATGATGTAACAAAAATTAAAAAATTTTAGTATTCTTTTATTATTATATATATTTTTTTAGGAAAGTAGAACTTGGCCTAACGCTCTAGATTCATTAGAACAAACTATAAAAGAACAAAATGATGAACTAAAGGAGCTATACATTGTTTACAATGATGCTCAAATTGCTAGGGATACAGCACGATCAGAATTAGCAAAGTTTGAACAAACTGTAACGGAAGCTAAAAAAGATAGGGAGTTGCAATTAGCAGAATATAAAAGACAAGCTGAAGAAAAAAAAGATTATGCTGAAAAGGTGGAGAAGCGGGTAAGTTCATAATGTAATGGTACTATAGCAAGAAACCAAGTTTTATGGTATGTAAAAACTAAATTTGATGATATGCGTTTAAGAAATCTGATGATATACTTGTAAGAAATAAATCTAACAATAAACATGTAGGAAATAAAGTAACCTGCACTAAATAAGTTTGAATTTTTTATTTTAGTTACAAAGAACATTGCAGCAGGACGATCTTAACCAAGGTGATCATTATGTTTTTGAATATCTACATTCTATATTTAAATTTTTGTAATAATTTTGTATTTTTCTTTTTTTTTAATATGTAAAAAATTTTATTAGATTATGTATTAATTTTTTGTTTATAAATTATTTCCAATATTATTTTCATATGGTCTTATATTCCTCATACACATCTTTGTGAAAGCAAATTTTTTGATTTTGTTTTAATAAGAAGTTTCTGACTTATTTCTAGATTTAAAGTCAAAACATTCGAGTGAAGAGCAAGAACGCAAAATTACAACGTATGAAGAGGCCATGGCAAAAATTAAGGATGCCACAGGTGTTTCTGATATAAAGGTGGAAATACAAATGTCATATGCTGCTGTCATTTTTCCTTGTCTTTTAGTTAGTACTAATATTGAATTTTTTTTCGTTTAGGAGGTTGTGCAACGATTTTTATCTCAAGGTGAAACACAAAATCATCTTCAGTCACTAAAGTTAGCCAATGAAAAAGTATTAGCTCATTTAAAAGAAGAAAAAGAAAGACTTCAAACAGAGTTTGAAGAAATGAAATATTCTGGTGAAGCAAAACTCTCAAAGTAAAGTATTAGGAGCCTTATTTTCACAATGCTTTAAATTGCAAACTTTCACTTATTTTCTTTTCTTAAACTCTCTACTTTTTTTAAATATAATATATATATATATATATATATATATATATATATATATATATATATATATATATATATATATATATATATATATATATATATATATATATTTATATTTTATCTACTATAGCATATTTATATGCGCACTTGCTCACTTTTTTTGCTCACTTAAATCAATATAGATTTTTTAGAAAATTTATTATAGATTTTTTTGGAAAACGAAGAATAATGAATGAAAAGGTTGCTGACCCATCCCAAAACCCTTAGGTTATGTAGCAGCACTCCACTGCAAGTCAGGCTATTTGTCAGTTGATGTATGTACTGAAGCCCCCGGCAGCAGTATGAGGTTACACCTTCCACCTAAATCAGCAGTATAAGATATATATATATATATATATATATATATATATATATATATATATATATATATATTTGTGTATAGATAGTATGTGTATGACAGATTTCTATAATGCCATTTTTATACTTAATATAACATTATGGAAGAATTAAAGCAATTTTTTACAGTTGGATACCCTTCCTAGTATATTTATTGTGGTACCATCTGGAAGATTACAACTCAAGGTTTACAAGTTCCTCCCAATTTTACCCACAGTTAAGTTAGGGTTTTATATCAGATTTTCTCTTTTTTCTAAGTAAGTTTTCTATACCATGACTAATGAGCCTCTTCAGCATTGATATAGGATTAATTTAACATTTAACAATATAGCAATTTAACCAAGAGAAGATTTTTGACTATGCTGTTTTTGTGCGCTTGTTGTGGCCTTATATACAAATGCTAATTTTTTTTTTTAAAACTTTGTGAAACAGATCTGATACTGTGTATTTCATGTATATACTACATCCCTAATATATCTTTTATTATACCAAACTTATAAATTAGATTATTTTTTATATATTTGTTTTTGTAGATTTATAAAATATAATTTAAATAAAAATTATATTTTATAAATAACAGTTTTGTAGTTTTAATATTTTTATTTCTTATTCAAGTGGTGAGAAAATGCTAGAAGAACTTCGAGAGGAATTAAAAGTTAGTGAAGCTAAGTAAGTAAAGTTAACATATCATTTTTTGTTTCCAATTTACAACTTTTTTGAAATAAAATGTGAATGCGAACTGTAATGAGTCTTTATATGCAATATTGTGTAAATATGTATTAAATTAGTCACATGTTTGTATAATCAGAAATTTAATCAGTTGTAATTACATTTCGAAAAAATGTTAAAAATAATGCATTATTTTAGTCAGATTCCATACAGGGATAAATCTATTTTTCCTTGTTTGGAATACTGTTATCATATTTAAGTCTTTTAAAGATGCCCTTTCTATTCTTGACAAAGTCCAAAAACGTATTGTAAATGTAGTTAACCTGCTCTTTTCTCAAACAAGCTATTATCTCTAGTTCCATCAACCAAAACTCATTCTTGCTTGACTCTTCATTTTTTTTTCAAATTTTCATTTTTTTACTGTATCTGTTCTTTTATGCTCTAAAAACTTTTATCCATCTAGTTTCTTTCCTTGTAAATCAGCTTTGGAACTCTCTTTCATCTTCGTGTATAAAACTGCATTATGAGGTAAAGCTATAGATTTAGATATAGATTTGTTCTATTTGATCAAACTTTTTACTTTTGTTATGGTATTGAGAAATCAACATGTTTTTTTGCTCAGTAGCTCTTTTAAATTTTTATAGAATAAACAAAATAGTTTTTCATACACATAGAGTATTTTTTTAATTGTGTTCTTGTTAGTAAAGATGATTATATAAGGTGTTTTGTTAAATCACATAACAAAGTTTCAGGTATATATGAATAATTGTTAATGAAAAATACATGAATTGCAAGCAGCATGAAAATTGTAAAAATTTTGTAAAAGTTATGTAGTTTTCTTTTCTTTTTACTTTTTGTGATGTACAATGTACCTGGTATGTACTTGGACTCAGTCTTTAGTTTTACTTCTGATTAAATAAAAAAGAAGTTCTTCAGCAAAATCTTTGATATTTTTGCACTGATTTTGAAATGATGGGAAAAAAAAAAAAGACCTGAGAGAAAAAGACAAATCTTTGATGTTTTGATTTAAATTTTGTTGGAAAATCGTGGTCTAAAACAAAAGGAGATTGAAATTAAGAAATTGAAGATTTCAACACAAACAGTTAATGCAGTGGAAAGGAAGTTGGATTAAGGTAGAAAAGTTGAAACTAAAAGAGTTGGAAATTATGGCATCAAAGAATAACTACCTCAGACTTGAGAGAATGATGAAAGTAATGGCCCTCAGTAGTAAATAAGTTTCTTGTAAGAATGTATCTAAAAAATTAACAAGTCAGGGCATTAATGCAAGCCATAAAACAGTTAACAATTGCTTTTTTGAGAAGGGACTGGAGGCATACAGACTAAAATGCCAAGTCTTACAAACAAAATGAAGCATGCCAGGCATGATTTCGTTTAATTTTTCTTGATTTCTTTTAGTTTCAACTTGTTTTCTGACTAATATCTGTAGGTGTTGATTGTGACTATTAATGTAATGTTTTTGCTATGATTTCTTGGATGCTTTTTAGGAATTTTTAAATTCAGGTTGTATTCTAAGATAAGTCAACAATTGCTATCTTGAATGATAGTGCGAAGAGTTCAAGTCTGTATGTCTTAAGAAAACATTGGGAAAATTATGATAGCGAAGGGAACAAGTAGTCTGCATTTTTACAGATTGTCAAAGGAATAATCAACCAAAAAATGTATATAGAGGTGTTGTAAAAATGCTTGTTTCTTCAAATAAGAGACTGGTTACCTGATAAGAACTATATATTTCAACAGGTAGTGCAGGTTCTGAGACAATGAATTCTCTATACTCAATGCCCAGGGAATTCACCAGATATGAATCCAGTTGAGAATTTATGGAACATTTTGAAGGACAAAACACATAAAGTTTCTATCACTGCAAAAACGCAGCTCATAGAGAAGTTATCACCAAGTTATAGAATCATCAAATTACGCCGTGATTTAACTATGGGCATGCCTAAAAGTGTCATATTCTCAGACATAGAACAAGTTAAGCAGTTTGCAAATCATAAAGATAAGATTTTAAAGCTCATGAGCTCATACCAGATTTTAATGTTTAATACCATAGGAATATTTTAAAATATACAAATTAAAAGTTTTTTTAATTTGAATATTCTAAAATATTTTTATACTAAAAATAAATGTATTCTGCATTATTCATAAAATTATGATGTCTGAAAGTGGTAGTTATATTATGAAATGTATTGTATATATTTATATATGCTATATTACAGGTTGTTGGAAGCTAAAAATGCTCAACAGTTAATCAGTAGGTCTGTAGCTGATGTAAAATCAGGTATTGCACATCTTGCAGACAAGTTACTACCAAAAAGTCAACTTCCACCTTTGGATTCAGAAAATTTTATCATGGATACATTAAGTATGTTTTTTTTTGTTGTTGTTGAATAAAATTTTTGATAACAATATTCAATATGTAAGTTTAAATTTATCTATTAAGGATAATAGATTAGTAAGGGTGTTACTAATCTATTAGCAAGTTACAAATTTAGGTGCCTGGTTTTTTTAACAACCCTACTTATTTTATCATTATTATTGTTTTATTTTACACTTTTTTTAATTGTTGTAACAACCCTCTTTCAGCCCTTTAACTCCAAAACACGAACCTTGATGAATAACCCTGACAAATAAGACTTGATAAATAAACGTGACGAATAAATCCTTGATGAGCAACCTGACAAGTAAGACTTGATGAGTAAGCCCGACAAATAAAGCCTTGATGAACAAGCCTGATGAATAAGACTTGATAAATAAGGATTCTGGGAAGAGAAACAAGTTGAGCATTGTACTACCAGGAATCTGGTGGCGATTAAACTCAAACCTTCTTGCTTTCAAAGCAAACGCTTTTTTTTACAAATATTGCTCATAAATTTGTTTATATAATATATATGTATATATATATATATATATATATATATATATATATATATATATATATATATATATATATATATGTATATATTAAATATAAATATATTAAATATATATATATTATATATATATATATATATATATATATATATATATATTATATATATATATATGTATATGTATATATATATATATATATATATATATATATATATATATATATATATATATATATATATATATATGTTTACATACATATACTAATTATTATAGTTATATTTATTACTCTTGTTATTATTAATCTTGCTATATTAATTGTTGTTATTATTACTACTTGTTTTTGTTATTAATATTATTGTTATGATTATTATTATTGTTATTATAAATAGTTATAAAATGAAATCGCTTTAAATGTAGCGAAGGAATAAATTTTTAACTTCATTTAAAGCGAATTAATTAATTTTATTATTTTAGAATTATGTGAAACTAAGCTGACTGTTCTTGTTGAAGAATTAGGCGGCAAAGATATTGGAAGTTTTTTGAAAGAAATGGAAGATGCAGAGTTTCGTTCTTCGCTGGAAACAAAACTACCTGCATTTAACACACGAATCAAACTTCCTACTTTTGCAGAAAAACTTCCTACTTTTGATGGTAAATTCATTTTTTACTTATAAGTTTTTTTTTAAGTTATAGTTACAGGGACCAGGATGCACAGTGGGGTGTAGAAGAATCATTTAGAATGTAGCAGTGATGAAGTAGATTGCTTTTCTCAGCTATCTTGGTATTTTAAATTTTTTTTTTTTTTTTTTTCAAATTTAGATGACGAAGATAGTGGAGCTGAAGATGACTATTTGTCAAGGAATGCTATTAAACAAAATTCCCAGCAGATTGTTGACTCAAAAACAAAGAAAAACAAAACAAAAAAGAAAAAAAATAAAAAGTAACTTTTGCAGACAATGAAAAATGTTATTTGAAAGTTTTTAAACATTTGTTTATAATTTTATTTTTATCTTTTAATTTATTTTAATATAGGTCATTTTCACAACTAAATAATATATTTTTTCTCTTCGTGTTTAAATTTTTTTTTGAAAATCGTATTGTACTTTGTACTTTAAAGATTCTTTACCGATAATATAGTAAATTGAAATTTTGAAGTGTTTGTTAGCTCAAAATTTTATCTTATTTTATCTAAGTAATCAATGAAAGCTAGTAACGTTTATTAGTATATTATTTATAATTTTAAAAATGAAATTATAACGTAAGTTTCAAGATTTTGCATTTAACTACAACAACAACAAAAAGCAACCTAAATACGCATACTTGACAACAACAAAAAAAGCACCCTAAAATCGAATATTTCAAATTTTCAATTTGCAGTGGTTAAACTGCTGGGTTCTAATTTCTGAAAAAAAATATATTGCAAAATTTTGAGTTGAAATCTTACTTTAGCTATAAAAAAAGACATCTTTACAAGAACAAGTATTCACTTGCACCATTGATGGTGCTCTATATAGCTATTAGAGTTTACTTTGAGTTTTATTCGTAATAAACTACAGAACCAGACATTGTAAGAATTGCATTCTGCCATAAGTTGAGGATGTTTTGCAATGATTTATGGTGATCAAAGCTACCCTTAATCTTTTTGTTATTTTTTTTATGTTTATTTTTATCTTTTGTTTAATTATTGTAGGTTTAAATATTGTTATTATAATTATTATTATTATTATTATCTGTCGAATTAAAATCAGAGCTAATGATTACAAGCTCTTTGAAATATAAATTGAAAAATAAAGCAAATAAATATTTTGAGATATGTTTGAAAAACAAATTTTTCCTTCTTGATTGTTAAATAAACAGCTGTGCGATGTACGAGAGCAATTTAAAAGATTCTAAAAACCTGAGCAAAAAACATATTTTAAGAACCAAAATATTTAGAGCCTTCAAAAAAAATCATGACTACAAGTTCTGATTTTTAGTCGACAATGTTGAGCGTCCTTTTTGTCGTTAATGGGAGTTTACAAATAAGCAAAACTGGGTATTATAATCATATACGCACTGTAGTATACTTATCGACTGATTTATTTAGCCGTAATCGACTGATTTATTTAGCCGTAAGCGCAATGAGTGTACATATATTGGCTGAGTAATTGGAGTTAGGAACATTTTTTTTTTAAGTTTGCGGAAACTAAAGCATTGGAATAGAAAATTGAAACATGTGACATTAAAGAAACCTTGACTTAGGCTAAATTACTACTTAAAGAGATCCAGCTTCCATTGTATAAAAACTTTTGGTTTCCTCATTAAAACATTTTATAAAAGATATATTAAAAAAAAAAGTAGAAATCGCATTTACATAAAAATAATAAATATGGTGTAGTTATTGGAAATGCAATTAGTCCGAGTAAGCATGCTCCACTGAAGATTTTTTCTTTAGAATTTCTATGGTGCCAATGCAAAATTATCTACGAGGTGTTGTCGGCCCATTCAAACTTCTAAATTGAAATACTTGCGTCTCGCGGAAATTTTGACATAATGATAATACCAACTATGATGTTTGGTATGCATGATAGGTGGCTAGGTTTGTAATGTGGTTTCATCATGTTCTTGCTCACAATGCTGGTACTTAAGTTGGGCAAAACCAACTGAAATGAATAATAAAAAATCTTCTTAGGGTTATTACTTCTTCATGCCTAGATTAGAATTTTATGAATGTGTTTGTCACATTTCATACCGCATAGAAATTAAAACATAGCAATTTTAGACTTTCATTAAAAAGTGAATATTTAAAAAAACGTTTGTTGTGCGAGTTTTGAATTGGGTGTCTATGATGTATATAAAACTGCAAGCAAAATATAAGATTTAAAATTACGTGTTTTAGATGTAACTTGGTTACTGATGCTGACAAATTTTTCTCACTTTTTCACAAAAAAAATCATTTAACAATATATTAACCACAAGCAGATCTTTTACTTTTAACCTAATTGTTGAGGTTGTTGGAAATATAGGGTGTAGATGATGTTGATGTATTATTTGAGATACGTCAACAACAAAAACCATTATTTAAATTTATTTAGGCAAAAACTTGTTTAATTTTGATCATTTTAAAAAACAATATCCTTACTAGATAATATTAGCCGCTATGTATAAAACTTCACAAATAAAATTTTCTAAAAGTATATTTTGCTTATGTCAACTTTGCTTTTAAATATTATTAAGATTAGTTAACTATTTAGAACAAAGCTTGAGATCTTTTCTGCATGCAAATACTTGCGTTAAACAAATAAAAAAAAAAGTAAGTTAAACTTTTTTTTTTATTTGTTAACACAGGTAACACAAACACAAAACACTTTAAGTGTTTCCTGTTATATAGACGCGATCATGGTTGATCTCCAATAGTTGTTTAAATATCCTACAATAGTTGTTCAACAATTAGGTTCGTAATTTCGAAATACTTTCTTGACTAGTTTGCATAACTTACCGTTTGTTGTACAACAAAATTTAAGCTGTAAAACGATTATTGCAGATTTAGAAACAAATCTAATTTGGCGATAATTGTTATCTAGCAAAATCGTACAATTGCGCGACATTGCTACAGCTATTAAAAACTTGGCTTTAACAACACAAAGCAAACAACATTAAACTATACACAAGTTAACAACACAAAACGAATAGTTAAACTTTACTTGTTATTAATTGAACTTTCCTTTAAAAAAAACTTTTATACAATGATTTGAAAGAACAGGTTTAGTCAATAAAGCTACGTTATCAACAACTAATTTTATGTTAAAAGATTAACTATTTATTAACATGCTTTAAACGAGCTCTCTGAATTTCTGACCGTCTTGCTTTATTCCGATAAAGATTTTCTAACTGATGAGCAATGCTAAGGGGGTCTAATCCCATTTTACGAGTCATGTCATCAAGAAAACGAACAAACAGTTTCTCAAGACGGTCTTTTCGAGGGTTTGATGAATGAAACGTTTTTAATAAGGGGACATCGGAATTAGCACGAGTTTCAACATTGTTCGCTACTTTTTCTACAGTATGGTTAGATACCATTATTCGTTGCTTGTTTAGTTTATTCATAATGTCGTATAGTGATTCATTTCCGACAAAGTCACTTTTTGTTTCTTCTAAAGCTCCATCAAGATCATTTGCAACAATGAATTCTGACCGACGTTGTCCACTAATTAGCTTATTTCCCTTATCTGTACTGTTGCTTTTTTTAAAAAGTTTTCTGGTGTCGTTTTTAACAAAGTGCCTTTTTCTAGTTAATTTAAGAGTAAACTTTGGTGTAGAAATTACCGCAACTTTCGAACCGTTTTCTAGAAATTTTTTAAAAACGTTCTCATTTTGATGGAATCCATAAAACTCGTTCCTTTTTGACGCTACCACAGCTTTTCTATTTTTACTTTTTCTTTTTTCAAGAAAATTTAAGACTCGTCTAAAAAGTTTTGTTAGTCGATGGCTAGATTTATGAAACTTATGCACACTCAGCCGATTATCTTTATACTTGTTTTGTGGAGAGCATTCTGTTAAATGCAAAGCATTTTATATTAGATAAAGAAAAAAAAAAACCTAGTAAAAAAAAAATAATAAAAAATAAAAATAATATTTCATACCTAAAGCTGTCACCCAAATAATAGCAAAGGCAAGACTAAAATAATCCATAAAAACATTAAATCTTTATTAATTAATCTTTATATATATATATATATATATATATATATATATATATATATATATATATATATATATATATATATATATATATATATATATATATATATATATATATATATATATATATATATATATATATATATATATATACATATATATATATATATATATATATATATATATATATATATATATATATATATATATATATATATATATATATATATATATATATATATATATATACATATACATATAGCTGTGGGTGTATTTAACACCCATTTTTAGGTGTTTTTATGAATTATAACATTTGTTCTCCATTCATTAAAAGTTATGCAAATGAATTCAATATATTAGAACTTTAAATTTTCCCCCTGAAACAGTGAATAAATCTTTAACTAAAATTAAACCCAGTGTAGTATGCGTTTAATTTTATTTCTCCATTTAATTTTATTTCACCCTCATGGTATATCTAATATACTTCTCATAAAACTAGCTTATTTGCTATATTTTCCACTTTGCTTTATACTTTTGCCAAATTTAAGTTAAGCTCCTTACCATATCAAACTTTTGTTTCTCCAAGTTTTAAAAAAGGAGCTACTACGGATCCTATTAATTATAGATCCATCTGACATGCACTTGTTGTCGCGTTACGGTAAGAATGATTAATTCGCATATTAAGGAGTATCTAACTCATCATAGCTAATCAACACGGTTTCCTCTAAAAACGCTTTACGTGTACAAACCTTTTATAATATGCAAATGATTGGAGTATTACACTCGATAATCATCTGATAACGGATTTTGTATATATTGATTTTTAAAATGCGTTTGAATCACATTCCAAATTATTAGTTAAACATGCATAGGGTAATTTGAGATAATATTCTTAATCGGATTTCTGCGTTTCTCTCCGGATATCAACAAGTTAAGGTCGGAAATTATCTATCAAACTTAATTCAAACTTTTAGTGATGTTCTAAAAATCAGTTTTAGGACCAGCATTATTTTTACTTCATGCTAATGATTTAGTAGACATAACATCTTAATTATTCTTTAAAACTTTGGGTGAACATGGATCAAGATTTAGCTATTGCTATAAATAGGCTTGCACTCTGGGCAGAAACATGGCAATTAACAATTGCAAGCAAAAGCGTTTTTCATATAAGATAGCACCTCCTTCATTATGCAAAGGTATAAAGATCACTAAAGTCTTGGTGATTATTTTTTAGCTTGCTCTTCAACCCAAAAGATCTAGGAGGGACTATGGACTCTAACCTAAACAACAAAAAATTGGGGCTTAATGATAAGACTTGGTGCTTAATGATAAGACTAAATTTGTCTTCTTCTAGCCCCGGTCATGTAATTATTTTTTTCATAAGTTACGACTGTAAATTTTTTTTTTTTATCGGCAAAAGTGTAAATAAAAAAAAAAATAAATAAAAAAAAAAAAAACATATTGCAAATGTTGTCCATCAAGTTAATTCCAGAGCATACTTAATTTTTTAAATGCTTTAAATTTTGAGATCTATACTCCAAGTTAGAGCTTTCATGACCTATATTAGGCCAATTTTAAAATATTTTCTTCAGGTTGGTCACCATACCAAATTAAATGCTCTGATTACTGCGTCACAGCTGCTTTAAAATGTGTTTCATATAATCGTGTAAGCTTGTGAACCGTTATTTGTTGTTTCAAAACAGTATCCATACCAATGCTAATTAGATTTCAAAACAATAAAACAATAAAATAAATTTTGTTAATAAATTTAGTTATAAATTCAAAAAAATAATTTAAAATTTAGTAAAATTTCTAAACGTACTCTTATATTCTCATGTTACCCAAAAAAGAGTGCAAACCTATAGATGAGCAGAACTCTTTAATAGGAAAAGTACTTCCAAAAATTTACAAAAGAAAAGCCAAATCAAGGTATGGTAAAAAAAAAAAATTTATCCGTAGCATATCTGGTTGGACAGTTGATTTTGAACTCTATCAGGGTACAAGCATATAAAAGCAACGCAAACACTTGGTACTTAGTGCTTTTGTTGTCAACAGATTGTCAGAAACCATTTCACAAAAAAAAAAACTACAGACCGAATTTATGGTTACTCTACTGAAATAAACCTAATTAAATAGTTGAAAACATTATGAATCCTGTGCCTTGGATTTAGTGGTTAAAGCCTACAAAATACAGAGGTTAAAGTCTATGAAATAAAAAATCAACCAAACGTCAAATCAATAAAAATTAAAGCAGACATTAGTCTACTTTGCGGTAAAAATCAGTTTGTTATGATTGCTGTGACGACTTTTTTTGCTGCATCTATCTACTGAGTCAGGGCTGTATACTTGAATGGTACAAAAGTAACAGAAGAGTAAAATGCATATTCATTCATATTTAAAAAAGTTTTTATGAACTTAAATATATATATATATATATATATATATATATATATATATATATATATATATATATATATATATATACATATATATATGTATATATATATATTAGCCTATATGCTAGGGTAAACTCGTTAAATAAATAAAAGTTTAGTTTCATTTTGAAAAATAAATATATAAATACCACTATATAGTACTTTCAAATAAAATAAAAAGAATTAGGCACTTTTATTAAAAGTAAATTATATACATAATATATATATATATATAAATATATATAAATATTCATAAAACAGAAACTAAAGAAAAAACGGAACTAGTTTTTTATTTATTTGCGAGAGTTCTTATGCTAAACAAAACTTGCATCTTGGATCACATACTAAAACATTAAGAAAAATTATCAACTATAGAACATTAACAAAAATTAGCAATAAAACAATATATTGCGATATATTAATATAGGCGCAACAAAAATAAAGATCTAAACTAATATATAAACTACCACCCACGCGCACTTTTGCATGTTGCTTATTTTTTTGAACCGGTTTAACAAAATTGTTGCAAGTTAGAGTTTTACTTCAAATCGTATCTGGTAATGGCTGTTTATGAATTTTGTTCGGACCGTGATTAACTCTTTGTCCAAACAAGTATAGATGGATTTAATTCCATTAAAATCTAGTAATCATGCTGGCCAGGGTAAAAAAATATATTTTTGTTTTCTTTCATCAATGCTTTGACTGTGCAAGTGATGTAGACAGGTGCTAGATCTTGTTGAAACATAAACCTTTTGTTTTGATCAATCACCATATCTACCGATCGAACAGTGCAGTAGTCGCTGTAAAGGTATGTAGGTTAAAATCAAATTTTAATGTTAACGGAGCAAATGCGAGGAAAACTTATACAAGCCAAATTAAGCAACACACTTATATAGAGACTACTAAATGGTTCACGGCTTACAAGATTAAGGTAATGAGGTAAGGTGAAACTATCAATATAGTACCATCCTATTCTCTCCTTTCATCGCTCTAATCTTGTGAGCCGTCAGCATGGGTTTTCTAACAGCTTCATAGACCAATGCAAGTAAAATAATCCGAATTGTATTTAAAGAAAGACATTTTTCACGTTTTTCGTCGAATGTGTTGGTAAGTTCACAATATAAAAAACGTTCCATTGGCTCTTATTTGACAAAATATAACCTGAAGTTGGATTCCACTAGTTGTTTTGAATGTTTTCTAAATATTTCTGACGGAGCTCTCAAAAAATTTTAATCCTAATGTTATTTTCTCTATTATTGATCATGCTACCCATCATATTACCTATTAGAGCCATTCTTCATACCTTTTTTTTGTTTTTTTTGTTGTTTTGTTTTTTTTACTGATTTTTTTTATCAATTTTTAGTTATCAGTAGCTTTTAGATTTAACAAATTATTTTAAATGTTTTTTAAATATTGGTCATCAAAAGCAATTTATGCAACCTTTTATAGTCAAACTTATAAACTAGTTATGAAGAAAGTTGAACAGAAATCAGTTTAATAATTTGTGCACATTTTTTTTTTCCTTTAAGTAAAGCAGCAAATAATTTGCATTTAAAACAAAATGTTTAATCAACAATAATACATGGAACTTAATCATACTTACCTAAATTTTAAAACATTCATCGCGTTTTAGTAAGGACCATGGTTTTTTCTAAAATAAAGAATGCTTTGCAGCTACTTTTGATATCTGTTACATTCTAAGCTTCTACTTACTATGCTCATTGGCTTTTTGCGCAATATAATGGTATAACTCACTGAAGTGTCAGGAAAACGAACGCGGATATTATTTAAAGTTTTTCTTTGGTACACCAGGTACAAAAAAATTGTTTAAAAAAATAATTAATTTTTCTTTTATAAAAGCTCCAAAAGACTGTTTTAACTTTTAGTTGTTTTAAAACAAATTCAAAAAAATTTGAATGATTTTGATGAAGCATAATGTTTTGACTACTGTGAAGATTCGTCATTTTTTTATAAGCGAAAACTATATATTGTTAGTGCGGCAAAGTTTTGATTCTTTTATTCGGTCGAGTAGTTCACATTTTGTTTTTTAAACTCCAAAACATACTAACCTCCTGTTTCTTTCTGTAAACAACATTATTTTGAGTATATTCTTTCTTACAATTCTTTTCAATTCATACATACCTTATTTTGCTATTTCTTAGTTGTTGCTGTTTTTTATATTTGTTTTATTATTTCTTGCTATTCTTTTTTATTTTTATTTATTCTTACTATTGCCTACTATTTCTTACCATTTTTTTATATTTACATACTATTTCTTATCTTATCTCTTTTATTATTAGGTACCAAGATGCTACTAGCTATCAAAGAAAGAAATATTGTTTGTGTAGTGTCACAAAAAATATTTGCATGATTTGACCGGATAGTATGAGCGCCAGAGGAAATGCGCAAACTAACATGAACAGATAAAAAATTTATCTGTTTATGTTTTTTTCAAACGACAATTTTTGATTTTTATATTTACACTTAATTAAAACATGTACCACTAATTTTGCAACCTACTAAAAGATGATCTACTTTAATTTTGACCTACTGAATTTTCAACCTACTGCATTTTCAATTTTATAACTGTGCCTTTCCGGTATCTATTTTGTTTATTTTGTTGTTGATTTGAAAACGAGCCAAGTTTAATCAGTCATGGCGCATTGGTTGAAGCGCTGTCTTTAGATTCGAGAGCAGTACCGGATTAACCATTATGCACACTAAGCACGTACTTAGGGCACCGCATGGAAAGGAGCACCACAACGAGCTACTACAAATTTTTTGCAATTACTAAATTACTTCAACTGCATAAACGGCCTTAGCAACGGGTTGTTTATGTCGGAAAATAAGTGTTTTAGAGTTTTGCGCCATATACTCTTGAATCAGCATTTGATAACTGTTTCTGCTAGTAACTGTTTCATGTTTATTAAACTGAATAAGCCATGATTTCTAGGAAAAATTATTATATTTAGATTTGTAACTTATAGAAAAACTGTAATCTTTGTGTTTTACTTTATTTGCTAGCCTCGTTCGTCAGTGCGTTTTTTATTATGGGAAAAAGAAAACATGATTCAAATCTAAGAAGGAAATCAGGTGGTAGCAGGATATTCGAAAATATATATTTTAGAGGAAATCAGTTTTCTCTAGTATCATCAGTATGCAATAAAAAATAGTTTGACTTCTCAATCGGAAATCACTAATTTTACTAACACAAAATCTTGACGTCAATATCTTCAAAAAAAGTAACACAATGCAGTATTAATAGTAATGTACAAATTAATAATCTAAATGAATTACCTTCATGTTTTATAATTATTGACACAGACATTTTAAAATCAATTATTATTTTAATTGGTCCGATTGTCCACAATGCTATGATAATTCAATTGAAATCTCAACTTTTTGCCGATAAAAAAAATTTACAGCCGTAACTTATAAAAAATAATAACATAACCGGAGCTAGAAGAAGACAAATTTAGTCATATCATTAAGCCCCAATACAACTGATTTATTAAAAAAGAAAGGATTGCTTATTTTTTTTAAATTATTTTGTATAATACCTTCTTGCGGTTGGAAGCAGCCTTTTTATTCCAGCAAAGATGTTGAAAAGCAAGGTTCAGAAATGTCACCATTTGAAATAAATTATAGAACTGTCGTTGCTATGAGAGAGATAGGATAAAATCATTCTGCTCAAAATCTCATATAGAAGATAAGAAGGTTTTAAAACCCCTTTCAGATACTCGATGGGAAGCACACGATCAGTCACAGAAAGCTGACACTGTGCAAGAGGCAACAAGTTTAGCTAACAAAACGATAGAATTGGAGTTTGTGTTGATACTGGTAATTTGGCAGGACAAACAGCAACATTTTCATAAAACAAGTACTGCATTGCAACACGAAGAACTGAATCTGGTAGTGTGCGAAAACCTCTATCAGAGTTTGGTAGTTTATCTGACCGACATGAGGGACCACTTTGATAAATATGAGAAAACTGCCAAAGAAATACTGCCAGATGTTGATTATAAGCAATCGAAGAATTGTATTAGAAGAAGAAGAAAGCACGCTGATGATGGTTTAGCAGTTGATGCTTTGGAAACATAAATGCAAGGGATACATTTTAAGTGTTTACATTCTACAACATAATTGATGCTGATAACTAAAATGGAAAGAAGAATTAAAGTTTACAAAGATGTATCAGCACAGTTTACATTCATTAATAACCTACAGTTAAGCGGAAAAGAGTATTTCAAAGGCTGTCATACCTTAGTCAGATTTTATTAGGAAGATCTCAGCATGGACATTGTTAGTGAACTGCAGCAGTTTCATAAGTATCTCAGCTCAAAGTTTCTGAAAACAAAAATAATTTCACTTATGCTGAACTGTATGATGTTATTGTTCAAGATAAACTTTGTAGTGTTTTTCTAAACCTGGATATTGTACTTCGTTTTTTCCTTACCTTCATGCTACCAAATGTTTATGCCAATCGATCCTTTCTTACGGCTTAAGAGACTCAAAAACCCGTGTTGAACAACAATGAAGCAGGAGAGATTGGGCTCTCTGTCTCTACTCTGCATCGAGGCCAATATGCTTATTTCAGTTAACTTTGATAATGTAATCAATGGTATTGCACTTTCAAAGTCTAGGAAACAAAATGTATGATTTATAAAATTTATAACAGTTACTAGTAGTTTAGTAGTTTCGTAACTGTTTACATCATACTCATACATGTTGTTTACAACTTACATCATCATAGTTACATGATGTGTTACAGTGTAATGTATAGATTATAGCATGTGTATATAATATTGTAATAAAAATTAATGTTGCACAACAACTTGCACTTACCTGCTATTGGTTAGCTATGTTCGGGTACCGTACGTGATTAAGTGCTTCGGGCCCCTGAATATGTTAATCCGGCCCTGATTTTAACTCTAGAAATTGATCAAGATTACTCAACATCCTGTTTACTAATTTTTCTAAAGCATTTGACCGAGTTTACAATAGAAAACTTTTGTTCAAAATTGAAATGTGCAGTATAAAGGAATTAATTATTAAATGGGCTGAGTCCTTTTTATCAAATACATAGCAAAGAGTTATTCTTAAAGACATTGCTTCTTCGTGGCTCAGTGTTTCAGTTGGTGTACCACAAGGCTATGTTCTGGGACCAATTTTGTTTTTAATTTATATTGATAATCTTCGGGATAAACTAAAACTATAAATATTAAAGATGTAATCATTAAAAAGATTTTAAAGCTCCTACAGGAAGAAATATTTAATCATAGAGGTTCTTTGTTTACGGAAATCCTAGAAATCTCTGAACTTGAACTTTTTTCTTCCTTAAACATTAATCTTAATGCTGATCACCCCTTGAAGAAAAATGTTAGAAAAAGATACAAGGTCTCTACATGTTTAGATGATATTTATTTCATACCTCTTGCTGAAAACAGCCTCACGAAGGTTTTACTAAATTAATCGATAATTTAAAAATAATTAGTGAACTACGCACGTCACAGATGTGAAAATCCTATCAAATTTAAAAGAACTTATTGACCAAATAATGACACTGCAATCAGATTACATAAAAATTCAGGAAGATCTTTGCCTACGGCAAGGTAAATATGACTAACGTAGAGAACCAAATAGTAAAATTACAATAAATCAAAAACAGCTGTAATTAAACTGCGCTTCTTGTCATCGGTTCTTCAAAAATCTATAGATTTTATTGTTTCAATAATAAAATTACTTTCCAAAAATTTACTTTCCAAAACTCAAAATCATACGCAAAATAAAACATCTCCACACGTCATTGTAAAGGATTTCAATAACAAATTTAAAAAAAATAAAAGCTTTGAAATCTATCCGCAAAAAGTTAAAACTCCGCCAAGAATGGCAGACCATAGCACTATAACCTCACATATTACCACCCATAATCACATATAATCATCCATATTAGTACAACAGGCTCGAAATAAATTGAATATAAAAGTGTCGACCAAGACTGTTCTGAAAAAAGTAAAAATTCGACACTGGAAATATTTACACAAAAGAACGAACCAATCTTTGGAATAAAATTACAAAGAACAGAAGTTCTATTGCAGGAAGCCGTATTGTTTGAGGATTTTTTATATTTGTTGGAGGAGTTAGTAATTTCATATCAGAAAATTATTTGTCTGATTTAATAAAGAAAGAAATAGGCATAGTGTCAATTGTTGTCACACTCAACCGAATAAATAAATATAACCACTCTTTTAAAGTAACAATAAAGTGTAATGAAAAACACATTGTTCTAAAACCAGAGGTTTGAGACCACAATATTATTGTTAAACAGTTTCGAAAGTATCCCGAAAATTTCAGAACTGAAACCATGCTTCAAAATAATAACAATAAATCGTCAATATTGCAATCAGTAAGAAAAAGTAAATCTGACATCTTAAAGCAATCTGAAGTTGAACTTCAGCTATACGCAGCTCACGCCATATCTCCAAATTAAGAATCAATTTTAATACAACTCTTAACACTCCCACAATTGCTAACAACAACTATGAACACCTTCATAATCCACAACTCATAAATGAAGCTAGTCAAATAGTCTTTTCAACATCTGACATCAAATTGCATGATTCCTGCAGAATTACTGCCGAGCATCTTAAATACTCTTTTAACAACAACCTCCTAATATGGCTTTCGAAATTTTATAATAATATTTTTAATCATGGAGCGGTCCCAGAGTACTTATCAATTTCCATTATTATTATTCCAATAGTCAAATAAAAAATATATTATTATAAAAAATTAAAAATTCTTTAATTTTTTATTATTATAAAAAATTAAAAATCTCTTGATAATACAGATAACTATCGCGGAATCAGTATCATATCTATTTTGACAAAACTCTTTAAGTATATTATCATGCAAGTATGTCCGGAAATATCAGATAGCCACTCTCATCAAATCGTTCAACGCTTCATGTAAAATTCCTTTTGTGTGAAACAATAAAACATTACAATAATAATAACATATCAATATATAGCTATAGTTTCGATGCCAATAAGGCCTTCGATAGCTGTAACTGGTACTTGTTGTTTGGAAAACTTAGTCGCAACAGAAATTTACCGCTATATTCAGTTTGCGCACTAAAATCATCATACCTTGGACATAAATCAAATCATTTCCTTTTGTCTCAACGCGTGCTATAAGGGTCCATTTTATCGCCACATCTGTACAATATCTACACTGAAAGTATATAAGTCTAATTGTTTCAGAATGTTGGAACAACAGTAAGTGGCATATACACATTATTGCTTATGCAGACGATATAATTCTACTTATTACTACTCTTTCTGGGCTACAAGAATTAGTTAATAAAGTTTAAGCACAATGAAAAAACCTTTATATCAAACTAAATAATGAAAAAAATGAGTTTATTATCTCAGGTAATGGTTCAATTACAAATAACACTGTTCAAATTAACTGTTCTTCCCTGTACCCCCAACAAATGTAAACAAACGCATTATACAACTTCAATCAGCCTCCAGAGCTCTTATAAAATCTGGGATTTGGTTTTTTTATACACTAACTATAGTGCATTTGTTCAAATCTCTGGCTCTACCAAATCTATCATACGGCTTGGAGATTTGTAATTATAACAATACATTTTTTATAAATTAGACGCTGTCGGAAGATTAGCATTAGAATTAGACGCTGTCGGAAGATTAGCATTAGAATTAGACGCTGTCGGAAGATTAGCATTAATACTCCTCTTTAGCAAATCAAATTAGAGCAAAAATGATCTAGATGATCCTTCTTTAAAATTTATAACATGTCTAACATCCTCATTCGAAAAAAAATTAAATATTTATCAGACTATTGAGACTTGTTTCTCCCTGATTTTTACATATCAGTAAGGATAACCACTTTATCAACAAAGTAATCAAATTTGTAACCTATTGAAGCTAAACTTTGTCTTGTGTTGGATAGACAGTAAAAAAGTCATTGTTAAACGTCCGAATGCTGACGTAGAAGATAAAGTAGCGGCAATACTTAACAAGTTCTTCGAATTTCGGAATATCAAAGAACAAAAAGCCATAGTTAAAAACTTGATAAAAGAAGATATTCCAAAAAAAATTAAACTAAAATCAGACTATTATTTTTATACACTTTGTTTTTTTACCAGCAACGACGAAAAAAATAATTAAATAATATGTGTAAGTATCTTTCGAGAACAGGTATTGAAAAATCCCGGGACTGGGTAAATGTTAGAATTTTCTTATTTTATTTCCACATTTTTGATATGAAAAGATTTATAAAATAAAAACTTAAGAAGATAAAAAGCATTTTTATAATTTATGTTTTCTGGGCAACTTTTTTACTTATAACTTTTTAATACAGTAGAAAAACATTATTCTGAGGTACATAACACTATCAATGACTCAATTTTTTTAAAAAGTAGAAATAGAACAATATAATTATAACGTTTCGAAATATTATAACAAATTCTCGGAATTAAAAATATAGCTCTGAATTACAAACCCTAGTAAAGGGCGTCAAAGAACAGTAAAGACAGTCTTTAAATAAAATTTTGCAGCTCAAAAAAAAATTTTTTTTAACTGATATGTACATATAATTATATTATGTCAAGGGTATTACATCCATAGTGATATTATTTGAACTTCAATCAAATTTAAACATTTGGGTAATAAAAATGTGTGAATTGGTTGTCGGTGATATACATACTGCAAACTGGAAAATTGCTTTTTTGCGAAGAAAATGCTTTTTTTCTTAGTACCGCATATAATTTACAAATTTAACTACAAATAAATTTATACATCAACTGATTATATCATCGACGGTTTGGTTAGGGAAGGGTCTAACCATGGCTACAGATGGTTTGCAAAAGAGTTAGCATTTTCCCGGTTCGCAGTTAGTATTTTGCCTAGTAACTATGAAATTGGATGACCTAAATAAAAAATGAGTTTAAAAATAACAAACGGTATTATTCGTTTTGGAAATTTTATACAAAAATAAAATATTTAAACTCAACTATATCTATAAATGAGCAACATTAACAAAAATGAGAAGAACAACAATATAAATGCGAGGAATAAATAACAAAAATTGAAATTAAATTTTAAGTAACAAACGTTTTAACTGTACAACAATCTCACAAAAGATTTTTTTTTGCTTTAGCAAAATAGTAATTTATATATAAATTCGTTATAAAAATAAAACTTTAGTATTTATTTAATATATCCGGTTCATCTGGTAAAACAGAAGCATCCGGATCAGGATCCGAATAGTCTACAGGTTTGGGGAAATAAGACCTTTTTAAAAAGTTTACATACGGTTCTCCTGGTTTAATAAATGGGTTTGCTTGTGGTTTGGGGATTTCACTTCTTGCGCTCCCTAAAACTATACCGCTGAGGGCTAATTTTTGCCTATCAATATAATTAGATTCAATAGGGAGTTCTTTTCCCCAGTCTACGTCATTGTCTTTAGCCGGAGTGTCTAAAATATTATGACGATCAATTGGTCGCTCAATCACATCACGTGCCGTTAGTGGTACATTTCGATATTCACCATCGTCACTTTCTGGTATAAAACCTTGAGTTATGGTATTACTCAAAGAAGCAGGCAGAGTGCTGTTTAACTCGTCTTTGTTTATAAAAGATTCTGCTTTATCAGACCATTCACTCATGCTACTTTCTGTGTTATCAGCACGAATAGTGTCCAACGTTTTTTTAACTGCAAGCTCTTCTGAACTTCCGGGCTTCTGAACTGGCAGTGGATATGTATCATTCAACTCATTTTGCAGTTTATTCTCATCGGATGAACCTTCATTTTCAAATTCTTCGTGTTTTAAATTAAATAAATCTGGTCCGGTTTCATATCCTTCTGTAAGATTTTCTGTTGATTCAATACCTACAGGAGTTTCATCGTAAGAAACCCCAGAATCTGTTTCTGATTGAGGATTGAATTCCTTTGGTAAAATTACATCGTTTGTCGCAAGCTGTAAAGCTAAACTTTGAAAAACAGGACTTTTTGAGTTAGGCTGGGTTATTGTTGCAGGAGAAGCAACTCGTGGAGTTGTTTCTGGTTCCGCAAAAATAGTTTTTGGTAATGTCATTATGGAAGATACAATTCTAGGTGCAGTTGTTGATAATAACATACCAAGAGTTACTTTTGATGAAGGAGTAACAATTTTGCTACTATCTATAGTTTGTGTTGGAAGCATTGATCGCTCCTGAACATTTACATAAGGATCATTGGATTTTAAATCTGCATTGATAATCAAATCTGCAGCATTTGGACCTTGAATTTTGTAACCTGTGTAACGAGTTGTTGGCCGATTTCGTTTTGTAGTCAATAATGTAGAAAGTAATGATCGTGTTGTCATAGAAACAGTTGTTCCCTGCCACGGTTTTGCAGATACCACATCGTCAGAACTTACATTTGATGCTTCATTAAACAGCTGCGAGTCCTGTGCTTCTTGCAATTCTTCTTCTTCCTGTAATTTTTTTTCTAGATTGTCATTTTCAATGAGAGCTTCTGATTTTTGTGAATCTGTAGTTGTCTTTACTATTTTTAATGGAGATGATATGTTATAATCAGATGTTGAATCTGCTAGAATGACAGATGCAATAACTGGCGAAACAACAGATGGAGTTGGTAATTGAGATTTAATATCTGCAACATTAACAGCACTTCTAATGGAAAAATTATCTTTTACACCAAATATGTTTTTTTGGGGATCTTTTTCTGGAGAAGTGAAATTTGAACTATCTAAATTAGAATCTAAGTTCATAATAGGCTCAAGGTTTTTTGAAATTACGAGTGATGGAGTTGTACTTAAAGTATTAGATGATTCAGTTGAATTTAATTCTGATTCAGTTTTTATACTGTTGGCATTTATAGTAACCCTTTCAGATGATGCAATAAGATTTAACTCACCTGAGGTTTCATCAGTTTTGATGGTTGATATAATAGTGGTATTGGCTGGAATTACTTCAGTAGACGATTCCTCATTTTTATTAGATAAAATATTTTCAGCAGGTTCTGGACTAAATTCTAACATTGGTTGGATGGTAGTAGAGGTGGTTAAATAGTTAGAATTTAAACTTGTGGTCACGCTAACAAACGGAGTTTCTTCTGTTGTTGATAAAGTTTCAGCTGATGGAGTGGTATCAGCATCTCTTTGCAAAAATGAAAACATTTCTGGTTTTGTCGTTTCTGTAGTTGGTTTAGCACTTTCATCTTGATATGCAGGTAAATTTGTGGAAGTTGTTTCAAAACCACTGTTTTTTGGTGGATAAGGCTCTTTTGATTCTTTTGGGGATGGTAACAATGTATTTTGTTCATAAACCATTGATTGAGATTGAGAGGTTTGTGTTACAGATTCATTAGGTGCTTGAGCTGGTTGCAATGCAGCTTCTTGTCCAAAGTAGACAGCATTATCTGGAGTATATTTTGATGTTGATTCAAGCGTAAATCTATCAGTAGACAAAGTTGATGTTTCAGATGTACTTAAAAGCTCTGCTCCTTTATTTTCCTGTTCAGTGGTAGAAGTATATGGTGTAGGTGCTATAATATATTTCACAGGGACAACTGTTTCAGTTAATGTTGTCAAACTTGGTACTATAGGTTCAACTAACTGATTAGAACTTTCTTGTTGGAAATAACCTGTTGTTGAGACAGGAGCTACATTCATTTCTGGAAAAATAAAAGGATTATTTTCAACATAAAGAGCACCTGATAACTGATATGGATACACTGATGCTTGATATCCTATCCCTGGACTTTCTAAAGGTGTAACTCTTATTTGGTTATCTTCTACATTTTGAGCTACATACGATGCTTGTGGTAGTTCCTTTGTTGATGTGGTATCAGATGTAGTTGTAGTAGTCATTGTAGCTATTGTTTTAGAAAACAGTTCATTAGTTGTTGCTTCAGTAGTGGTTGCTTCAGTAGTAGTTGCTTCAGTAGTGGGTGCTTCAACTGTTGATGTTTCCGTTGTTGCTGCTTCAATTGTTTTTGGTTGAGTTGTTATTGCTTCAGTTGTGGTTGCTTCATTTGTTGTTGTTTCAGTTGAGATTGCTTCAGTTGCTGTTGCTTTAGGTGCTGTTAATTCAATTGTTGTTGATTCAATTGTTGTGGATTCAGTTGTTGTTGGTTGAGTTGTTGATTGTGTTGTTGTTGTTTCAGTTTGTGTTTCAGTTGTTATTGGTGTTGTTGTTGTTTCAGTTTGCGCTTCAGTTGCTATTGGTGTTGTTGTTGTTTCAGTTTGTGTTTCAGTTGCTATTGGTGTTATTGTTGTTTCAGTTTGTGCTTCGGTTGTTATTGGTGTTGTTGTTGTTTCAGTTTGTGCTTCGGTTGTTATTGATGTTGTTGTTGTTTCAGTTTGTGCTTCAGTTGTTATTGATGTTGTTGTTGTTTCAGTTTGTGCTTCAGTTGTTATTGGTGTAGTTGTTGTTGCTTCAGGTGTTGTTGATTCAATTGTTGTTGATTCAGTTGTTGTTGGTTGAGTTGTAGTTGGTTGTGTTGTTGTTGATTCAGTTGTTGTTGCTTCAGATGTTGTTGTTTCAGTTGTTATTGGTGTTGTTGTTGTTGTTTCAGTTGTTATTGGTGTTGTTGTTGCTTCAGATGTTGTTTCAATTATTATTGGTGGCATTGTTGATCTTATTTCTTCAGTGTGAAGTGGTGAGTCGGTACGTGGAGCTGTTCTATAATTAAGATAAGTATTTATTGAAGTCTGTTCTTTTGGTGATACAACTTTTGGCAAAGTGACAGTGGATGAAATATAACTTGGAGAATCTGAAAAAACAAAGTTTTTAAAATACACAACTTACATACATAAGCATCATATATAAGATTCGTCATTTTTGAAACAATTATAAAAATATTAAAAGCTCTAAAACAATTAGAAATTTAAAAACCAATAAAGGTAAAGTAGAGATTTTACTTGTAACTTGATTTGTACTCAACAAATCAAGTTACAAATGAGAAAAAATAATTAAACAGTTTCTTCATGAAAAAGAGATCATTTACTGGATTTAAGTGGAAGATTCTGTTTATTCAAAGAAAATATTTTTTATTGTTTATTATCTGTAAATTCCCAGCGCTGTCACTCAGTAAAAATAATCCAGAAATTTCAATTAATATTCAAGGAATTTAAAGAAGAAAGTAATTAATGAGTTTTTAAGGCAAACATTAAAAATATTAAAAAAAGTGATAAACCTAAAGAACTTTACAAGATTTAAAACATTAAAATGTTACAATTAATAAAAAGTTACAAAACATTAAAATTCAAGATTTAAAACATTAATATGTTTATTATTTTTGATTATGCTAAAATACAAACTACATAATGGGTGTAAAGTTGAACAAAAAACTTTTTTATTTAAAATTATGATCACAGGCACATTTTAAACATACATTCTTCTAAATGCTGAGTTATGCCAAAATTTAATTAAAATATCTTTTTAGATGTTTTCAAGTCTATCTTTTACACCCTCTACACATTTTTAAATTTAATTATTTAGAGTTAAGTAAAAAATTATACTAAAGTTTATGCTGATTGTTTTATTTCTTTTATTTAAAATACTTGATTTATCTCTTGTTATGTGTGTATGTTTTTTTTGTTTGATATTACATTGTACTCTATGATTTATCTTTCTAGTTTTATCTGATGATTTATCAAATGAATAAAATTATTAAAGTTCAAATCATAAAATTTAACAACAATAACAATAACAACAATATTAATAGTAATAATAGTAATAATAGTAATAATAATAATAATAATAATAATAATAATAATAATAGTTTTTTTTATGAAGTTTTATATCACAATTTCAAGATCATAAATATCCTGCATTAATATCTTCTATCAAAAACTAATTATTGAATCTTGTGATAAAAACAGAGTTTACAGTTTTTAAAAAACTCTGAAGACCAGTATCTCCAGATATCCCAATCACTTAATTTATACTTTTTTTCTGAAAACACAAACACACACTTTACCAAACTTAAGATGCACTGTCCAATCTACTAATATACTTTAGACACTTTTTTAACTACATGTATATATAATATATATATATATATATATATATATATATATATATATATATATATATATATATATATATATATATATATATATATATATATATATATATGTATATATATATATATATATATATATATATATATATATATATATATATATATATATATATATATATATATATATATATATATATATATGTGTGTGTATATATATATATATATATATATATATATATATATATATATATATATATATATATATATATATATATATATATATATTATATAAATATATATACACGAATGTAACTTTATTAATTAATAATAATAACTAACCATTACTAGGAGTTTTTATCATTGAATCTTCACCATCTGGGTGTTCTGTTGTTGTGCTAGTTAACTTAGCTAGGAAAATTTAATAAATAAGAATATATATATATATATATATATATATATATATATATATATATATATATATATATATATATATATATAATAAATAAAATGAAAAAATATAGCTTTAGCAATAGCATATTTTCATAGATTCTTATAGAACTTAAATTAAAAAAAAACTTTAAATTATGTTTTAATATACGTATAACAAAAAAATTACTTTGTAATAAAGATGTTGCCTCCCAGCGCTCTATAGAATTTAAGTACTCTTCATACTCATGTTGATAATTAGTACCATTCGGATTTAAAGTAGGATGGGCATCAGGATGCAAAGTGATGTTGTGATGTTCAACAGGTACCATATACTTGTTAATCCAATTTTGAATGCCTTCTAGATATTTTGACCAATTGTATATGTAATCATAAAATAAGTCATTATAAGGGTATTTTGTAGTTCCAGCAGTTGTTCCTGGCTGTGATGTAGATGTAGCTTGGTAATCAAATGTAGATTGAGTGTTTGGCAGATTCTCTTCTTTAGTAGTTGGTGAAGATTCTGGTAGTTGCTCATTCACAGAAGAGGTCATTGTAACGCTTGTAGACAATAATGATTGTGTTGTTGAAAAATCTTGACTTTCTGCAGTAATTAATTCAGCAGTAGATCTATTTTCAGATAAATCTTTATTTAAAACTGTTTCTGTTGAAGATCCACTTGTCGAGTCTATTAGATTTGAATATGTTTTGGGTAAATCAGTTTTAATTACATCTGCTATTGGAGAATTCAATGGCATTTCACTTTGGATGTTGTAAGGTGAACTTACTGTTCCTAAGTTATTAGAAGCTGTTGTTGTTGAAATAGATGAATCAGTGCTTGTTGAAGTAGATGAATCAGTGCTTGTTGAAGTAGATGAATCAGTGCTTGTTGAAGTAGAAGTTGGTAGAGTAGGCGATGTAGTGATTTTTGAAGTAGTTTTAATTTCTGTTATCGTTTGGGAATTATTTTCAACAACTTCAGAATTTTCAGGTTGGAGTTCTGTTGTAATTGTTCTTTTTGTAGTTTTGGCAGATAAAATATCATTTGATTCAGTTTTAGAAACTTTATTTAAAGAATGGGTCAATGATCTAAGAGTGTAAGTTGTTCGTTCCTTTGGCTCAGAATGAACATTTTGTTGATTATTTGTGGTACTACTTTCTGTAGAAGTTGAAAAAGTATTTGATTCAGAAATTTTATTATTAAATGTTGCTTCCAAATCTGCTTTTGTTGTTGTTGTCGATGATGTATCATAAACTTTAGTACTTAAAATAGGTTGGGCAGTTGTTGCTTGTTCATTTACAATAACTTTATTTTCCTTTGGAGTTTTTGAGCTTTCATTTTCTAGAAGGAAAAAAAAACACATCTGACAATAGTAATAATTTAAATATATAAAAATTTGTATAGTTTTTTTAGTATATTACATATATATATATATATATATATATATATATATATATATATATATATATATATATATATATATATATATATATATATATATATATATATATATATATATATATATATATATATATATGTATATATATATATATATATATATATATATATATATATATATATATATATATATATATATATATATATACCTTCATCATTGTTGCTTGACATGTCTAATCCTGCTGGTGTTGGAGAAGCATGTGTTGACCTTTTTGTTTTTATATCTAACAATGATGATATGGTTGTTGATGGCATTTGACCAATTTGACCATTTGTTTGTAAATTTGTTGGCAATGCTTTATATAAATAGTTAGTAGCAGTTGGAGAGACACCAGTTGTAACTTGAAAAGTTTGCTTTGTAGAAGAACGAGATATAGGCACAATTTCCATTTCAATTGTTACTGGCTTTATAGGTGTAACTTTTCTGTTTTGGTCTGTTCTATACCTAAAGTCTTCGTTTTTATTTTTATCAGGAATTTCTGTGGGATAATCAGATTTTGGCCATTCTACCACTGCAACTGGTATAGGTGTTGTTTCACTGGTTGTAATTTTAGAAGTTGTTTGTTTGCCCAAAGGTGTTGTTGCCCATTCTATTACATTAACTGGAATGGGTGTTGTTTGACTAGTTATTGATTCAGACGTTGTTTGTTCATCCAAAGGTGTGGTTGCCCATTCTATAACATTAACAGGAACGGGTGTTGTTTGACTAGTTATTGAATCAGATGTTGTTTTTTCATCCGGAGCAGTTGTTGCCCATTCTATTACATCTATTGGAAAAGGTGTTGTTTGGCTTATTGTGGATTCTTGTGTTGTTTTTTCATTATCTGCAGTCACAATCTTCATTTCCATGGTTTCTATTGGTATTGGTGTGTTATTGTCATAATGTTCTTTATTAGACAAAGAGCTAGTTGAACTTGTTGTAGAAGCATCTGTTTGAGGTGTGTCATTATTTGTAGAATCTGATTTAGGATATACAGAATCAGTGGAGGTTAATTTATCGCTTGGAGTTGTGACTAATTTCATCTCCATTGTAACTACTTTTATAGAGGATCCAGTTGTGCTATCAAATTTAGAATTTGTTGTAACTGTTGTATCATTTTGATTGAATGGGGTAGTATAACTTTCAGTTGTAGCTGTTTCAGTAAGCAATCCACTTGGGGTAGTTGATATATGATCAGATGTTGGATATATTTCATTTTGTGTCAAATCTGTAATTGGTGTTACAGTGCTTTTCCTATCTTTAAGGAAAGATGCAGAAACTTGTTGAAATTCAGAAGCTTGAAGAGATTTGTCATATTCTGCATTAGAAAAAGATTCCTTGTCTCTTTGTAAAATTTCATCAGTAACACTAGCAGATGCAATGCCTTCACTTTTTAAATTTTCTTGATTAGTAGCATCAGTTTTTGTTGCAGACTGAATATAGGGAAGGGGTATGGTTGAAATATCTGGTTTAGATGATGCATACCAAAACTGCAATTTTTTGTAATAATCCATTCGATATTCTTCATAGGATGCAAACCCATTAAAGTTACCAAAAGTTGGTTTAGCATTTGTTAAGGTTTTTTCATTCTTCGATGTCTCAAAAATAATTTCATTGTTTACTTTTTCCTTTAATTTCTCTGTGCTTGTTGATGTTAATACTTGTGATGATGGTGAAGTTTGCAACATATTTTGGTTCGGAGTATATTTTAAATCTTGTTCAGAATTTTCACTCGAATATCCTAATTTAATTTTTCTATAATAATCGAGCAGATAATCATCATACGACTTAAAGCCAAATACTAATGTGTTTTGAGTTGTGCTGGTTGACCCAGTAGTAGGGCTGGTTGACCCAGTGGTTGGTTGGTAATATGAAATTAGCTCCGGGTTAGTTAAAGATGCTGGTGATTCTACTACTGAATTTTGAAAGGAATATTTTGGAAGTGTACCATTTTGAACTAAAACTTTATCATTATCATTTGTGTTAAATGGTACTATGTTTAGGCTAGTTGTAGGTGTAACAGTTGTTATATTTTCTACTCTTTCAATAGTGGATTCATCACTCATAACATTTAATTTTGGTAACGTAAAAACTACATCATTTGAAATAGGTGATTCTTCTTCTGATTCTTCTTCTTCATAAACTGCAGAATTAGAGTTAATTAAGGCATCTAAGTAAGCCTCATATGATGGATAACCATGAAAAGAGTTTTTATTTAATGAGATAGAAGAAGAGTTTTCACTAGAGTTTGTTATTGAATTTTTATTGTTGTAATATGGAATTTGAGTGGGAAATAATAAGTCTAATATTTCTGTAACCGCAGCATCTTTTACACTTTGAAGTTCATTTTGCATAGAGTTATCTGTAAACAGGCTACCAATAGTATCATTTTTGTTTACTGATTCTAAACTATTTGTATGCGCATTATTAGGTTTTTGAGTTGTTTCATCAGGTGTGTAAGAATTTTCAGAAGTTTTTAACTCTTTTTCATGCAAAATTTCATTGTTTGAATTGGGTGGCAATTTAACAACTTCATGTCCAGAAGTATTCAGATTATATGGTAATGATTGAAAAGAATTTTGAACTATTGAAGATTGACCAACATCTTGAACTTTTTTATAATAAGCTTTCAAAGCTATATCATATGAAGAAAGGTCTACAGGAGTAACGGGGGTAGCAGGGGCAGCAGTATACACAAAAGCCTCATTGTTATTTAAATGTGACTCATTAAATGACTGAATTTTTTCAGTAATAACTAATTGATCCTTCTCATGCAAATTATCTTGTGATGGGTTGGAGTTTTTCAATTCAAATGATTGGTTCTCAACAACATAACCTTTTTGATCAAACTGTGAGTTTGTATTTTTGTTTTCAACATTTTGTGAAGTTGATAGTTTATTATAATAGTCAAGTAGGTAATCTGCATATGATGCAAAATTACCATATTGATTCTTGCCACCAATAGTTTCAGTTTGCTGTTTTTGAATGTCACCAATAGTTTCAGTTTGCTGTTTTTGAATGTTTCTACTTTCTAAACCATTTATTAAAGACGTTTCAACTTGAATTTTTTTATCATCTTTAGAAATTGATTCATATAACTCTTCTTGATAAGGATAAGTTACTGTTGAGGTTTTATTTATAGGAGACGGACTAGTGAGTACAGCCAGTGGTTTTTCTTCTTTAGAAGATTTACTGTTGTTGTATACCTTTATTGCTTTCTTTGGAGTTGTAGTAGTTGGCTTATGCATTTCAAGGGTTTTGTTGATATTTAATTCATTAAACAAACCTCCATCTTCAGTTTTTTCTTCTTTTTTAACTTCATCAGTCTTCATAACAGGTATTTTCACAGTTAAAACTCTGTTGGTGTTCCTAGAATAAGTGTAACTTGTTGGAACTGAATAAAATGAAGGAGATCCAGTTGTAGTACTATTATAAATGTAACCATTACTATTCATAGGGCTAACAGTTGTTGACATATATACTTGATAATCATTTGTAGTACTGGTTACAGTGGTACTCTCCTGTGTCACAGGAACTGTTAAAGTTGAAGTTGTTGTTTCGAGTTCAGTTGAAGTAGAAACAGAAGGATAAAATGAAGTGTTTGTATTGTACAAAGTTGTAGAAATATCTGGAGTACTAGCCATGGTGGAGGATTCCGGTGTTTTGTTGTAATGTGATGTATCAAATGTTTTTAGAGTTGAATTATATCTAACTGTTGAATAAGGTGTAACAGTTGATAAAGATTCCAAAAGCTGAGGATCTTGAGGGACATTTATGTTATCAGAAAATAATATACCAATAGTTTCGTTATCTGTTTCATTGTCTGCTAACTCATATGGAGTTGTATTTACAGTTGTTTCAGTTATTTCTGTTGATTCTATTTTTTCAGATAAAGTTGTTTTTATAGATGCATAAACTGTCTTAGGTAGTACTGTTGTCATAAATGACATTTCTAATTCTGGCATTGTTGTTGTTGTAGTTGATATTAAATTTTCAGTTCTTAACTTAGTTGTTTCAATCTCTGGAGATTTTGTTGTTTCAAGTTTATTTTCCTTGTCAAATAAACTATCTTCACTTTCTTGATAAGTTTCTTTTATATTATTACCAGATATTTTAACATGAGAAGATGATGAGGAATTATTTTCTGGTGATATAACTTCTGTTGTTTGAATATTAGAAACATATGGGGTTAGTGTGGTAGTACTTTCAAATGGTGAATAAGCAAGTTCTTCAACAGGGGCTGATTTTTCAGCATTTACTGTGGAAATTGATGAAAAAGGAGAGACAGTAGTTGATGTAGTTGAATAAGTTGAAAAGATATTGGGAAACTCGCATGGATTTGAATCTATACCAGCACAATTCACAAGTAAAGATGTTGGTGGTGTTGTGAATAGTTCATTTAATTCTTTGTTACTTTCTTTGGAAGTTGGCTTTAGAAGAACCTCTTCACTACCAGCTCCCTCATCTTCTTCATTTTCACTATCTGGTTCAACATTCTGTAATGCTGCTGATGAATTTACCACAAGATTATTTATTAAAGCAGGATTCTGTGATTGCACAGGGATATTATAAGAGAAATTGGATTGATTTATAATTTCAGGTCTATCAGTGTTATAAGTTTGAGTGACCAAAGCAGCCTCAGGAGCAGGTGTTATATGGAAAGTACTAATTAATGCTGTATAGTTTTTCAAATAATCTTCATAGCTAGCAAAGCCATATATGCTTTCTAAAAATTGGTTATAAGGATGCTTAAAATCTGAGGGTTCTTGTTTTTCCCCTTGAACTACTTGATTATAGTTTAAAAGTTGAGTTGTTGTTGTTGTTGTAGTGGTTTCAACGGCAGATGTGGTCCAATCTAAAACTCTGAGTTCTGTGCTGAGTTCAGGTTTGTCAGTTGTTGTTTCTGATTTAATTTCTTCAGTGACATTTATAGGAGACTTTTCTTTCGCTTCATTGGCAAAAGCCTCTGATTCAATTTTTGTAGTGGTCGTAGTAACAGTTGTTTTGGGTACTGTCTTTTCAAAATACTTTGATTTTGTACCGACTGTTTTGATTTCATCAATGGTTGCTGTAGTAGTTGAAACTGTATTAGTAGCTTCAGCAGTTGTTAAGGTTGCTTCAGTTGTCTTAGGTAAAGAAGTCGTTTCAATATAATTATTTTCAACAGTGGCATAAATGCTTGGTCGATTAATATCAAATAGAACTTTCGCTGCTGCTTTGGTTGTATCAGTAAATAGATAGTTGATTGTTGTTTTGGCAGTTGTTAATTTTATTTGATTGGCATAATTTTCTGCAGATTCAGAAGAATCTTCAGATGAACTAGAATCTGCTTTTGATTTTGAATTGTTATTTTTTAAAACTTCAGGTTTTATATTAGTATCAGGTTTGGGAATGATTTCTTCAGTTGAAAATTTTGTTGGTGAAGAACTTTCAGTTGTCTCTGGTTGCCTAGTAACCTCAGGAACAAGATTAAGTAAATTATCCTCTTTTTTATTTTTATCTCTGAATGTATATTCATCAGGTTCTGACATTGTAACTTTAGGTTTAGGAGAGGTTGTTGTCGCAATCACTGATGAAATATTTTTATCAGAATTTGCTTTATACAACAAACTAGAGTTCACTTCTGAGAACACATAATTTTCTTCATTAACATATTCACCTCCAACTCTGTAGGAAACGTCTTGTCTATCAGAAAGATATGGTGCATTTTCTGAATCTCCTCTTAAAATTTGAGATGAATTAGCAATCAGTACAACAGGTGAAATGTAAGTTGATACAAACTCTGATGAACTTTGGTTTAAATTATTGGCTGGTGAGAAATAGCCTGCAGAGAGCCTATCTCCTAATATCACTTTTATTGCAGTGTCATTTGTACTAGGCCTAGGTGTAGAGGCATTATTCTCTTTATTAGGTTGCCAGGAATCAGTTTGAAAATTAGAATTAGGTTTTGATATTAGAGGCCCAAGTGACTCATAGTTATCATTGTTCTCATCATCTTGTTTCAAAGGGTCATCAGTAGTTGGTGTTGCTGTGCTTTCATAATAAACAAATTCTGAATCTTGTTTTTGAATTTCTAAAAAATATTGACATAAACATAAATTTTTGCATCACAAAATGTACAAACTTAAAATGAACAATCAATGAAATTAAAAAACCTTATCAAATTAAATGCTTAAAATCAAAGAAAAATTTACGAAGTATTTTTTATCAGTAAGTGGTGGTTAGTTAGGTGGTGGCAAAACTAATAGCAATTGCACTTAGTGGTACTAAATATATTATGTTACAGCAGTTAAGATTCTCATAATTTTTTTGAGGTTGACACAAACAGAGTATACCAGTGGTATATCACAAACAGCAATTAATGTATCTAGTGCATGACCACTAACAGTAACTGTAATAACTTATGCTTAAACCCAGGTAGTAGTCATTGTAAACAAAGGTACTTAACAAATGTACTACAAAGCACCTCTTACTTTTGCACTCCATGGTACTTAGGTACCATGGAGTGCAAGTAAGTTTACTACAATGGTACTTAAAACAAATGTATATAGAAGTCATTATGGTCAGAGATACATAATACAGCTGTATATACAAGTAATTATAACTAGAAGTACATAAAACTGCACAACCATGCACAGCTGTTTAAGATATGTTGAGTATTTAAATTATTATGAGAAAATGATTTTGCTTAATATTCACTTTATTTGCTTAATATTAACTTTATTTATTTAACATATGGGCACTAACTTTAATTAAATTTAACTTTGTCTTGAACCAACAAAAATCTGCCATTTTAAAAAATGGTTTTGGTTTTTGTTTCTGTTTTGTGTGCTAAAAATATGTACACTTACATGTTTAGAGGAAAGTAATCCAATAAAATAACTTAAATATTTAAAAATTAACACTTAAAATTTTAACCTTTATGGCAATTTTACTGTGGCAAGTTTAATTTTAAAAATGCTAATGCTGCAGTAGGTTTTTTTTTATTTATTTTAAAGATGTTGTCCTGAATAGTTTAGTTAGAGCTATGAATTAGAAAAATAGTTTACTTAAAATATAAAGCAACTTACTCAGTTTCTTTTCAGTTGAGCTAAGAGTTTTTTCAATAAATGGTGTTGAGCTTGAGGTGGTTCCAACTGTTTCAACATTTGGTGCAACTGTAAAGATATTTATTTTAACTGGTGACTTACTTTTATTTTTTGTATATTTGATAGAAGTTTCCATGTATTTTGTGGTCTCTGAACCAGTAGTTGTTGTTTCTGGCATCTCAGTTGTCAATACAAGCCCTGATATATTATTAGAAGCTTCAGTAACATAACTTTGTGTCGGAATGATTGTTGTTGAATTTTGTTGCTGGTAAAAACTTTGTTCTGATTTTGTAGTTGTGGTGGGAGTTGATGATGTTGTGTACTTGTATACTGTTGTTTCCTGGCTTTCTGTTGATTCATACAAAGTTGTAGCTTGAGTTGTCGTAAAATCAGTAGTACTAGTAGTAGTGCTCTCCGAAGGTAGTGCACTACTACTATCAGTAGTACTAGTAGTTGTGCTTACCAAAGGATTTATTGTATCGTAAGTTGGAGTATCTGAAAAAACAAAATGAATATTTAATATTCAATTATTTTTAAAAAAATAATATTATAAAATATTTTATTAAATTTTTTAGATACTTTAATTTAATGCTGCCTTTAAAACATGCAATGTTTAAAAATTGTCTTAGTACTGTTAATATTATTATAACAAACCTTGAGGCGTTTGAATATAGTTCCATTGCTGAGAAATTTTATCATATACCCAAGAGTAAGGGTTTTCTTTTTTTTTAGGTGATTCCTGTTGATTAGAATTAGATGAAGTAAAAATGGTACTTAATGAATCTGTTAACTTGGGCAGTACGGTAACAGGTTGTTGAGTTGATGTTGTTGTGCTTGATTCTGTACTTCTGATTGTTGTTAAAACTGTTGTAGATGTTGTCGAAGCTGTGGTAGAAGTTGTTGTAGAAGTTGTTGTTGAAGTTGTTGGTGGTGTTGTTTTAACTGACTTTGGTTTTTTAACATATTTTTCTTGAATAGGAGAAGAATATCTATATTCTTCAACTTCATTTGCTCTCGACACTTGAACTCTTGCAGTATTTAAACTTGAAGTGTCACTTGATAATGGTAATGTGATTGTATTTGGGATTGAGGTAGAAAAGTTTTGACTTTTATAAGTAAAACCATTCTTTTCATTGAATATAAAATCTGTGACATTTTCTTGTGTAGGATAATCAGGAAAAGGTTGAATTTTCTCATCAGAAAGAACTTCTTGAGATTTGTTTGCATGACCTATAGATGGCCCATTTATATCTTTTCCTAACTCAACATCAAAATCCCGAAATGATTGTTTACTGATTGGTGCTTTAATATTGTATGTTGGAACTTGAGTGGATGTATAAGGGTTAATTGTTGATGGAACTTGCTTTATAATGGTTTCAACAGTCTCTACACCCCAGACTGGCATTTCATTAGGAAGTACAGGTTGTAAGTCAAAAGGACACAGAGTATTAAGTGCTGTTGGACAAGGTACCAATGGAACTACTGGAATTATTTTGGATTGCTTTTCATTTACATTGGTTAATGACTCTGATAAATTAACTGTATTACTACTACTTTGGTGAATATCATAAGGGTTTAGAGTTGTCATGGTTGTTGATTGCGGCAATGCAAGTTCAGATGTTAATACTGTTGTTGATATCGTAGTTTCAGATGTTGATATTGTTGTTTCAGGCTCTTGAGAATAACTTACTGTTTGTGGTACTTTTGTTGTGAATTCTGAACGAGAATCACTAACTTGCACTGGTACTTCAATTGCATTAACATTTTCTACTGGACAAGGAAAATTTGGCCTTGGGACACAAGGCAGTACGTTTGGAGTAACACATGGGTTAAAAACTGTACCACAAGGAGATACCATAACAATTGGTAAAATAGGTTGGTAAACTGGTGGAACAAAAGATGTATTTTCTGAAACAGTTGTTACCTTATTTTGATAACTAGTCGTAGACTGGGTTGTAAATTCTATGTTGACAGGTGATTGAGTTGGAAACATCAAATCTGCAATAGTTGAAGGAATGCCAGAAGAAATAGTTTTTTGTGGTTGGTTATTTTCTTTATGGGAAGAGGTTGGACTATACAGTGTGTTATTAACTTTTGAGTTTATGTTAGGAGTTGGAACAGAAGGAAATTTTACACATGGAACAGCCATACCCTCCCCACAAATATTGATAGGTTGCATTGCAATGGAAGGACCAGCAGTTTTAGTAGGTTGGTTAAATCCAGCTGTATAATTATTCAAAGATAACTTTGTTTGTCCAAAACGTTCTCCATAGCAGGGCCACTGAATAGGTAAGCAAAGAATTTTATAACTTTTACTAGTAAACTTTATTGTAGGTGGAAGTTGAGTAGTAAACATTGACTGATTGACTGATTGGCTGTAATTGTAAATATATGGTTGTTTTGCTGGCTGAATTTGTTGGTTTGAGCTTTTTGTGGGCACCACAGGCTTTTTACTTACTTGTGTATTCATATTGTAAAATGGAGTAGTATACATCATTGTTGATGTTTTATTTTGAAAAGTGAATGGTGTAGTTGATAAAATCTCATTTTCCTTCGTCGTTTCAACTATAGGCGTAGAAGATTGAATTTGTTTATCTGACTCTTTTAATACAAGGGAACTTTCTGTTGTTGTACGTTCTTCAACCGATGATTGTGTTGAATAGTGTTTATTAGAAGTAAGCTCATCTGTAGGTTTTGATTTTTGTTTGACTTGTTCTTTTGTTTCTTCCTGATTTTTTCTCTTACTTTTATTTTTTCCTTTGGTAACTTTAGAACTAAGGTCCTCTTGAACTACCACTACAGAGGTTTTTCCTTTTTCTGTTTGTTTTTCTGTTATTTTGTCAGATTGTTTTTCTTTTCTTTTTTTTTGTTGTTTTGTTTTTGCTAAAACTGGTTTTTGCTTAACCTTTTTTGTTTTAAAATCCTCTGAGCTATTTGTTGTTTCCTGGTTTACTTGGTTACCGTTTAATTTGTTAGAATTCTTTTTTTCTTTCTTTTTGTTATTTTTATAAACTATTATATTATTGAAAACATTGGATTCTTCAATATCACCACTGCTTTCTTCTTTAACACTTGGGCGATGGTTATCTGATTTATTATTTTCAGATTTCATGATAACAGATGGATAATAACTCCAACTATAAGGTTTAGTTTTATTGTACGTGGCATTGTTGTTGAAACGCAATGGATAATAATAAAGCTTTGAAGTATTTCCATAGCTACTTGGTGGTTGCAATTTTGTGACAGATTGAACTTTTGGTTTTAATTGATAAACAGGATAATGTTGTTTATAGTAATTAGTATTATGATGTAGTTTAGGATAGTACGATAAATTGTTTTGTTGGGGGTAATAAGAAATATTTGCGTTAGATTTTTCTTTGTTGCCTTTATTTAAATAAATAACAGGCATTTTTGGTTTAGTGGCAACAGGAATGTGTTGAATAGATTTATTCCCTTTTGAGTATACAGGCTTAAATTTGTGCCCAAATTCAATAGAGTTTTGCTGCTTCTTTTTTACTTTGTACACATCTGCATAATCATTTAAGTTAGGTTGTTTATTACCTTTATTTATTGTCTCCTCCATTTTATATGTGATATGTTTTTCATTGTTTTCTACTTTAACATTATTAGATCTAATTGTAGTAGTAGTAGTCCTGTAAGGCAGTCTTTTTGTTGTTTGCTCTGAGCCATTAATTATTTTAGTCGTATGTGGCTTAGATGTAGTATTAATATGATATGATTGACCCCATACAATTCTAACTGGTCCTTTATGAGATTTTCTTGTAGTTAAAGGTATAACAACTACATTACTTAATTGCATACCCTGTGGAAACTGCTGTATTGCCTCTTTAACTGGATACACAAATGTAGGATAAGATAATTTAGGTGTTGGATAGAAAATATAAGGATATGGTTTTTGCGTCTGATGAACATTGTTCAAATCAGTTGGTGTTTTTGTAGGATGTACGAAAGTGTGTTTTTCACCACTTTCCAATTTGCTAGTTGCTTTTGTCACACCTTCTTCTTTTTCAGATTGATTATTTTCTAATCTATTTGAAAAGCGGTGCTCCTTTTTATGTTTACCTTTTTTTTGCTGGTTTAACAATGTTTCATTAATTGTGAGAGTGTTTAAAAGTTTTCCTAAGTTTACTGAACCCTCAGGTGGTTTTAATTTAAAGTCTGAGGCTAACTCCATAAGATCCTTACCTGAATCTTCAGTTTTAGTATTTCTGTGGATTTCACCTAAATTTCCCCAAGTAACTTTTGTTGTGCGAGAATCTTCAGGAAGCTCAACAGATTCCTCACAACAGCTAAGATCAATTTGATCATTTTGATTCCCGCAGCAGTTAAACTCCCAATCATCATCAAGTTGACTCATTTTACAACAAGTGTTATTTCTATACATTGTTTTTTCTACAACATTTACAAAGCTAATTGGATTACGCTTTGTTGCAGTTGAAGTTGGATTTGCAAGATGAACATTTGGAGTATCATTAGGTAAAAATACACCCTTGTACCCATTACTTTGTTTTTCAAATTTTTCTGATGCTGGTAAACCCTCAAGATAAACATCATTGTCCATTTTGCTCAAAGATTTTGGGTTAAGGTCATCCCAAATCAAATTCATTTTTCCTGTATGCTTATTATTATTTTGATACAACTCACTGTTATCATCTTCTACTATAAATCCAGATAAGCTGTCATCGTTATTTTCAAATATAGAATCACCTGTATATGCATTTTCATTTTTTAAAATTTCAGAACTGCGTTTTGAACTGTATTTATTACGTGGCCTTTGACGAACACTTTCAAGAACCATTTGTTTAGGAAAATAAGTTTTATCATGTAAATGAAAGCTTGACTTTTTAGATGTATTATTTGTCAAGCCAATCTGATCAATACCAAAATCTTTGGCGGTACTTTGTTTATCTGTGTTTCTTGATTTTCCCCATAAATCATTTTCTAAGTAACTTCCTTTTTGCACTTCTGATCCAGAACCACTTATTTCTTCAAAATCCTCAGACTTATCCTCTGTTTGTAAAAATTGGTTTTCAAATTCATCAACTTCTGGTGCAAATTTTCGCTTTCTAGTCATAATCATTTTGATTCTTTTTCTTCTTGATTTTGGCGCTCCTACTCCTTTATAATTTTGAAATTGGTTCGACAATTTACTTGAATATTTTTCATCTTCATGCAAAACAGCATATTCTGGTTGGCGTTTCACCAAGTAAAATATAGTATTGTCTCTTTTGGATCTTTTTAACAATGACCCATTTTGTCTGCTTTCAATTTTTTTATGAGCTTTTAATTTTGTTTTTTGAAAATTTAATGATGATTTTGATAAACTTTGATTGGCTAACTTAACTGAAATATTCAAGGAATTCATTGTATTATTTTTAGCAACATAGCTTGTCTTATTTATTTCCTTAGAAACCCATGTTTTTTCTTGATTATTCCACTGAAGTCGCATTATGGGCTTTTTATTAAATTCAAGTTTGCTTTTTTGCTCACTTCTGCTAGCCAAATGAACTGTCTTGTTTGACTTTTTAGTATAATTCGATATCATTTCTAAAAACTTTTTTTTAATAGAAAAATTAGGAGAATGTGACTTTTTTTTATTATTTGTGCTAGTTGTCATAGTGATATTATTTCTGAGGTATTCCAAAGTGTTTTTACTTTTATTTTTTTGCTCTTTCATATTTTTAGGTGGTTCTTTAGCAACCCATGTGTGTTGTTTTTT